ATAGATAGATAGATAGATAGATAGATAGATAGATAGATAGATAGATAGATAGATAGATAGATAGATAGATAGATAGATAGATAGATATTTTGAGAGTTTTGACTCAGTCTTATGCTGTTTATGTTGGTGTGATTGTAGAAGTTGGAAGAATCTCTGACTCCTTCCGATGGCAGCACCGGAGAAAGGAGTCTGACACTTCAAGGTGATGGACAAGAATCTGGAGCCACACCTCAACCCATTTCCACCCACATCTGCCAGATTATCACCCGCAACCTATCTGAGAAATCAACTGGTAGGGAAGCCAGGTTTATTTGTAATACATACACAACACAGACAGTCAAACACTTGGTATATCCAGTTGATAAAACCTTGCAAGACATCAGCTGTCACAATTTTGCTAAGATTCACACTTCTCATTGCATGATCTGTATACTTTTCTTAGGTGAGAGCTCTGAGGTCAGCGAACTAGAGGAGAGCAGGGCCCTGAGGGAGCATCCGTCTCACAGTGACCAACCACTAATCAAACACACCAGTCTCACAGAGAAGGTATCGTAATGCCAAGGACAAACATATTTAGTATGTGTTCTCCACAAGTGTTCCTAGTTGAGTGCTTGTTCTGCCATTTAAAAGTTATGAACTAAAATATATTTAAAGATACTTTTAACCCTTTACAGCCCGATCAAAGAATAAAACACAACAGAAAATTACTTTTTTTTGGTTTTAAGTCTTTATTTGGCCTTTTAACCAAATATGTAAAAACAAAAAACAAAAATAAATTTTTAATATTAATAATTTATTACTACGCAATAGGTCAAGATGATTTTTTGTGTAGTCTTCTGCCCCCTGTTATCAGGTGTATGTGATTGTGTACAATAGGATTTTGAGCAAAGTTTTTACCATTAAATTATGCAAAAGGTGTCAGATGCAAAACATTTCAGAAACCGTATGTATCAAATATGATACATTTGGCATTACAGGGTTAAGAGAAATATTTGGATTTACAGTTGATATCTGCTTTGCAAGTGCTGCTGACATATATATTATTGTTGATAAATATCAATTTAGCCACTCTTCCTTCTATAATGTTTGTTTTCCTTCCATTGAGTCAGCAGATGTTACTTCTCCTATTATAGGACTTGTAAAATTTTAGAACAAATGGTTGATTGATGCAGTTTAGTTTAATGGTATGAGATTAAAGATACAAGCCGTAATCAAATATTAGCTCCACTATGCAGCATGCATTTGAAATGGTGTGAGGTTACAGTAAACATCTGTCCAGCACAACTCTTTCCAGTAGGGAAAGCCTTTGAAGTTGAACAAATAAACAGAAAAGGAGTATTTGAAACAACTTTACATGTACTCTGGCAAAAACTTAGAGGGGTTAAAAGCAGAATATCAGCCGTAATCAAATATTAGCTCCACTATGCAGCATGCATTTGAAATGGTGTGAGGTTACAGTAAACATCTGTCCAGCACAACTCTTTCCAGTGGGGAAAGCCTTTGAGGTTTAACAAATAAACAGGAAAAAGAGAATTTGATGCAACTTTGCATGTACCCGGTACTCTGACAAAAATTTAACGGTTTAAAAGCAAAAAAGAGTCCCGGTAAAATTAATATGCCTTTGATAATCTTATTTTTTGTGGAAAGGCAACCTCTCTTTATACGTGTGAGGGCCTGCTTCTTGGAACATTTGTTCATGTGTTTGTAAGTACAAATAACGAGGATGGTGCTTCATGAAGGGTTCCGTTGTGGTCTGCTCAGATAGACTCAGACTCCCATTTACTCACATGGACCGGCAGCTCCCTTCATTGCCCCCCATGGTGGCCCCCTCTATGTTGGCAGCTGTTTTAGGTAAATAATTGTGAAGGACCCTGGTCTCCTCCCTTGAGACTGCTGAAGAAAAAGCTAGTTTTCCACTATGTACAAAGCAGCCATTTGGAATAACACTACCATCATTCTACTGCATGAATGTAATTAACTCCTGCTGCCTGCTATGCATTTGGAATTTATTTTTAAAACCACTGCTATAAATAGAGCATAAATGACATGGCAAATAAATATGGTATGTATATTTTATTTTTATAATTGGTATTTTTAGCTGTGTGAAAAGTCACTAAACAGAAAAAGACCCATATGGGGTTATTACTATTTGGTGCTCAAGTCCTTCATCCTATTTATTATACGCATGAATAGTATAATTGCTCAACAGCTTTGCTTTTTGTGAAGTTAATATAATTTGATTGTCAATGCCCGGGTGCCAAATATGTTGCCTTGATTATGGCAAATAGATTAAGCTATTATAACACCACTGATGCCTAGGAAACTCTTTAAACCTTAAAACATTTAATTGTTTAAGTTATTGCACGTTTTCAATTGTCAGTATACTCTATTTTGGTACCCATATCAATATATTCCATTTGACCTTCATTTACATTTATGCATTTAGCAGATGATTTAAACCAAAGCGACAAAGAAAAAAATTCACCATCAAATATCAGAACCTTCCATTAGAATGTTCCTTCAGAGAAGTGGTTCCCAAAGAGTAGGGAGCGTTACTTGGCGGTGGAGTGCGAGAAGACCGCATGTATGGAACTAACATGAATGTCTACAGACTCTGACTCATTTGGGAAATGAGGGGAATGCAGACACATCCACAAAAGGTCCTCTGTGTGTAAGATAGAAAAAAATATTACACTTATGGTTACCACCTTTTAGAAATAAAAACGAGGGATGCCGCCCACAGTTTCTTGGGGCCAGGACCGCCAGGGGTCCTCTGGCCTGGTGTGTACGCAGTTTCTCAGATCAAAGCCCCCCCACAGCTATTTCAGGCCACTTTTTTAAAAAATATTTTCCAGTTTGTGTAATACAGTGTGACCTTATCATGAGATTGCAAAAAAAAAGACCTTTTCCTAGTTTTTTTTTTTTTTTTTTACAACTAATATTTTGAATTTCTGGGTTGGGTTTGACAAATTACATTTTTACCCCTTGAACAAAGCTAATAGTTTTCCACCTCGTGGTGATACCTTAATCTTACTTTAAACAAGTTAGTGTAGCATTGGTGGTCACATTTGGTTCTTTTGATTAGCAAGTTCATATTCCCATGTCATGAAGTATTTGTAAAGCATTAGGTGCGCACCATGTTCCCATCTATGAAAGTGACATATAACATTTTCTTTGTAAAGATGTACCCATTGCCAAGGTCTATTTATGTCAGCAAAAATATGTCAGCAAAAGCAAAAAACCTACAGTTAAGAAACTTTTTTTTTTAAAGTTCCCGATATATTTCCCCCAGCTTCTCTCTAGCATTTGAGCTGTCAGAAGACACTTAACGCAGTACTGGTGAGGTCACACCTGGACTCTGAAAGCATTCCTCCTGTGTGCCTGTTAAGTCACTCTTGGTGATCTCCGGTGACCCCAGAAAATTGCTCGTGAACCAGGATAAACCCTGACCCAGTTTGCGACTCTGAGTTTGAAGAACATGCTGAGATGAATTCCATACTCTCTGTGTTGCTTTTGGAATATTTCCAATGTGTGTTTTCTCATACATACGTCCATACCCTACTGCTTGAATACCTAGTGACTGCCTGCAAAATACTACACGGTGACAGTCAGCTCAGCTGGATAAAGATAACTCTTGCTGAAGGATTTTTGACACCAACTGCCATTTTTCCAGCTCTCTCTGAAATCTAAAGTCCCTTGGGCGTCTTCATAAGAACCCTGTCAAGCAGGTCAAATATAGTTGGAGCAGATAAAGTCAGATTTTAGGAACTATATTTTTGTTTTCTTTTGCCATTTTACCAGCTTCTGTGTCCAGCTTGTTTTCGCTGCTTGCTCAATCTCGTTCATTTAGGCCACAGTTTGACTGGAACATTGCCAAAATGTCCGACTCTCAACCCTTAGTGAAAATAGTAAAAGTGAAATTGCGTTCCCCATGGAGAGTATGCTTAAAAGCCCTTCTGAGTCCTGAAATTGTGATGAAAATATTCCAGTAAAGCTTTCAGAATTTCACATTGGGCCTCTCATGTTACCTGATTATATAGATGAACATTAAGTATACATGCATTCCCTTTAAAATGTCAGAAAGATATGTTTGGAGCTGATTGAGCAGATACCTGTATGGGAAGTTGTATGACATTGTCCTTCACCAAATGCCAGACAAACCACATGGCTGTGAGTACACAGCACATATGATTAGTTTGACACATTTACATACATCATTTGTATCCCTTGCATGAATACAGCAGCTGTTTTCATGCATGACCAAAGAATTAACTATCTGTCAACATGCTACACACGAGTTGCTCCTCCTTTCTCCCATTTTTCCTGTTTGTTATCCCACATTATATAATTACAGTCAGTGATGATACATAAACAGCTTTCACAATCAGCTGGGGATCTTTTACTGACTTAGCACTCAGGGGGTAATGTGAGGGGAGAAAGGAACGGGTATGTTGTTCAAGTAGGATAGTAAGTTTTTGGGCTGCTTGGGGGCGATGAACATCCGCTCCAGCTGTGTTTAGGAATCTGACAGATAGTGCACTCCATTAATTCCCTTTATTAAACCTCTGGGTCCAGGCCAAGCCAGAGAAAACGATTGCAGCTGTAACCCTTCACATGCTGGCTGGACCTTCCACTTACGGCCAGATGTGACTCTGAAAGAGTCAGAGATGGAGAGAAAGAGAGAGTGCTTTGTCTGTTTACTAGTTTCTGCATGTGCCTTTAAATGTATGTAAAACCCAGGTATAGGGCCACAATCATGCTGTTTTATGGAAGGACAGGGCATAAACGATTTCGGAAAAGTTTGGTAAATCCCATGACTTTCTGCAAAATCTGATTGTTTATATAAACTGGTGAGTTATCAGATCTCCAATTGTTTTGACATTATTGAGAGAATAGTTAAATCATAACTTGGTCACTAAATGGATTGGATATATTTGATCTACCACATGAGCAAGGCAGCAAGTTTTGGCCCAAACACCAAAGCCTTCACAAGGGCCTTGAAAATGATTCTCTTGTTGCTTGTTGGCAGTTAAATCAAAGCAGGATTATCCCTTGATGTTGTTTGAAATATTTATAAAAAGAGACAACACAAGTAGTGTCACAAATCATAAATATCAAGGAATATAAAATGTTAATTCAAACCACATTTTTTGAAGCCCAAAAGTCTTACACTCAAGAAACAGATACATTGGGGTGAAAAAAAGAAAAGGAGACATAGCTGCCATATGGAGGTATAAAATATGCCATGCAAAGGCTGCTTTTGTATATATTGCATTTTGAACATTATAGCTAAATGGCCCACAGTGACCTCAAAGAGAAGTAAAGCTATAGTGGGAGTGGGCTCAGCTCACTTCTGGGAGCCATGGAGGCTGCTCAAGAATGATTGTCCTCTGAAGCAGATCATAAATAGCAAAGAGTTCAGCAAGCACACTTCTGGGCCCCCACTAAGCCCTTTAAGCCTGTGCATTAGGCAGATGGAAAACTGAGATTATTTGCTTCTCTTTTTTGCTTTTCAATCACCACTAGATGGGTGTGTTTCGAGCTACAGTGAGTTCAAGCTCACATGGAGCTATGAGTGATGAAAACTGGTGATGGAACCAAACTAAGGAAGTGGACGGTGGAGTTTAAAACTTAGGTAAAGTTGGGGGTCTCCGTACCAGATTTTTGTTGCGCCCACTTGGGGGCTTCATGCACAGAGCATGTCTAATCCGGAGCAGCCCCTGGCCTCTTGCTTTACAGCTGATATGGGAGAAACCATAAAAAAGCGTCATCTCTGTGGTGCGTGGAGTAGGAGTGAGGTTATGGCAAGGAGCCCACACACTACAGCTATGTTTGAAAAAGCACAAACAACCCTCAACATCATGTTAGGGTGGAGACCCTTAGGAGTTGCCAGGGACACCTGGTCACTGAGTGTACAACAAGGAAAGGAGGCCAAAGTCAATAGCAGTGACAGCTCTTCATGGAGCGAAACTTCACTTGCTTTATTTGTAAAAGACTGAACACATTTTAGTGTGTTTTATATTGCCAACAATGCATTCTACAATCAGAATCAGAATCAGAATTACTTTAATAATTGATATGTTCTACAAATTTTGTAGATTTGATTTCAGATGACCACTTATCACTGTACAGATATGAAGCCAAAGGCTGGTGAATCACTCAGATCTCAAATGTGGGCATAACTCCCGAATCAAATGCACAAAGATTTGTAGTTATCAAAAATTCAATCAATGCAGCCTCATCCAAACTGATAAGGTACTGTATGTGAATCCTGATTGCTGTTTAACAAATTGCAACTCAAGCTTTATATGTATTTATTCCTTCATTACTATGATGAAATTCTTTTCTTCTTTTTGATAGCTAATGTGTCTTAAGTGATCATTAAGGGCTTCTTTTTTGTGAAGTAGGACTTTTTTGGGAACCAGGACTTTTCTGTATGGAGTTTGCATGGTCTCCCCGCGTCTGCCTGGGTTCTTTCCGGGTTTTCCGGCTTCCTCCCACCATCTAAAACGCTGCATGTTAGGTTGATTTGACATTCCAAATTGCCCTGTGGAGTGAGTGTGCGTGTTTTTTTGTCCTTGTATGTCTCTGTGTGGCCCTACAACGGACTGGCGGACCATCCAAGGTACCCTGCCTCTCGCCCACTGACCACTAGAAAAGGCTTCAGTCCTCCTGCAACCCCATTTTGGAATAAGCGGTTAAAAAATGGATGGATGGAAATATTCAAATTTAGATTTGCAATAATACAATGAGCATCAAAGTTATATATTGTTATTATAAAACAACATATGATCGAACAATGCTATTCCTGGCTGTTTCACCTGTATGTCATTAGACAGTCATCTTCTCAGAAAATCCTTGATCTTTTAAGGAAATCCAGCATTTGCCATGAAAATTCCTCATTATCTGGCACATTTATACCATTATAAATGGTTGTTACATTTTTCAAATAACAGCTATGGTGGTCTTTCTCATCTTTGATGTCTAAAAACCAAAGTTTTTTTTTTCTCAAAGCAGGTAATGCTCAGCTTGTCGAGTAAAGTCTCTTTCTGTCTGACTATTGCTGTTTCCCAGAGAACACGCAAATGTGTCTGCATTGAGTTAATATAAAGCTTTCCCCTCATGCAATCCAGTTTAAGGTTACAGTTCTCTCTATGTCTTTACTTGGAAAAAACTGAGCCATGTGTGGTTGCCTCTTTTATATTCAATCCTGACACCCCCACTCACTTTCTGTTCTCATGGACTCCTACTTAACCTTGTTACCTATTTAGACTGTACATTTTTTTGTCTTTTGAATTTTTCTTATGTGTTGGTGTTGAGTCAAATTTTGAACTTGTTTAAATCTTATAAATACAATTAAGTTGATCAATAGAGACACAAAAAAGGATTTCCTTTCTTCTTGTGGTGTCTAATAAGGTTCACACAAACCTTTAGAAACCTTCTAACATTTCTGGAAATAGATTTTGTAAATGCTTGTTAGCAAGTTAGTGTTATTGCCATAGTTGTGCCAAAATACTTGAAAGGATGCATAATCAGTTGTGCTCCCCACACAGCTATTTCCAGGAGTCTATTTAAACACAGCTGCTGCAGTTCTATGCATTTCAAATACTCCGCCCATGTTGTTCTCCCTTCTCAATCCCTGTGGCTGTCACCTCAACAACGGGCAGTCAAAGAAGTTTTTGTGCTCTCCTTGGTCATCCTAGAAAAACACCAAAAGCCCAGAGTCAAGTGCGTGATGGCCGTTAATGTAGTTTGTAGTATACATTTCTGAAATGGGCATTTGAAAATGTGTTAATAATGGTGGCAAAGTGACTGGGCCCAGTGTTGAACAGTGAGACTATTGTCTTGGCTCTCTTGGAGCCTGCTGGAGAGATTAAGCACCCAGAGAAGAGATGAGGTACAGAAAAGTGGGAGGAAGGGAGTTGCAGGGTTGATTTGAAGGGCTTGGATGGTGGTTTGTAGTGTGTTGCAGGGGAGGGAGCTCCCTCTCGCTCACTCTCTTCCTCTCCTTTTACATGAGAAGTCTGCAAGGGCAGCTGGAGGCATGCAGTGTGTTGCAGTGCTCTAGGGCCATGTGGTTTGTATTAGTGAGGACAGGGTGTCTGGCACCAGGATAGAGAGTGGGTGGTGCAGATGTAATTTAGGGTGTATATGAGGTTGAGAGGTTACAGGACATTGGGATTTTTAGATATAGAACACAATCTTACATATCGCAGTGAGAAAGAACAGGACATGTGTATATCTGTATTTAAATTCAAGCGACAGATAAGACCTAATCATACATAAACAACAAGCATATTTAACTTAAATCTCTTTGTTCAACCCTAATTCTGATGTTTGCCAGATTTCTTATCTATCTCTATCTTATCTCCTTTTAAATACTGACCGTTATCCTTGCCAAGGCCATATTAAGCGGTACTAATTAAGTCAATCCACATATTATCCATGGTCCATATCTTTTTTTTAAGAAAGCATTTTATTCACTGTATGAAAAATTTATTTAGCAATGTTTTCATTAACTTTGCTCATTTTCTCAAACACTTACATTTCTCATTGGCATATCCTTTCACTACTCATTCCATGAGGCACTATATTATTTTTTCATGAATTGTTTGCATAACATACACATGATCGAATGCAGTTTTGTACTTACACCAAGATCATGAAGAGAATGATAAAAAATTTGCTAATTCAGTTCCTTTGACTAGTGCTGTTACGATGGGCAACAGGCGGAGGCTAATGTGTCGCTGCTTTGCCCAGCTGGATCAGATGCTGATGCTGTCATCAGCAGCGGACTCTGACCTGGATAGTTCCCCGTTGGGATCTATGCAACTGCAAAACAAGGAGAAAGCCTACAGGCAAAAATTGCAAGTCTTCCAGGAAGCTCAGAGGAGACAAGCCCAGCTTGTTCAGAAGCTACAAACCAAGGTGGCTGTACAGGATTCACACAATTCCCAACCCTCTACAAATAAAAATTAAACTTCTTTTGGCTTTTTGTCATAGGTTCTTCAGTACAAGAATAAATGTGGGGAACTACAGGAACAGATACAGAACAAGACTTTGGAGTCTGAGAAGATGAGACTCATGGTACGTCTAAATGGCTGCTTTATCTTCAAGAATCAGTGTTGGTCGGATAGAAACACTCAGGACTGATAGGTCTACTCAGATTGTCTACAAGTAATTTTGTTACTCACTGCCAATCATAGTTGAATGGGCCTGAACTAACACAAAATCCAAAATACCACACAGGGAGCCAGGAATTTAGGAAAAAATAATTTCTTAACAAGGACAACAAAAGGCACACCCACAGCTTGATACAAGATTAATTAAACTGTTAAAAAAAAACTTGAAAATAACAAAACCCAAATAAACGTACTGGGACAAAGACAAGGAAATAGACCTATGGATAGGTATATGGAAATCAAGACATAACGATGGCATAATGACGTGAAGGATCAGGCACAGTGTGAAATGATTGAGAAGTTTTTATAGAAGGGTGTTAGTGGAATGAAAGCCAGGTGACTGAAAAACACAGGTGCAGGTGGTTGAATGATAACCAAAAACGGTAGGAACTGAGAAAAGTAAATTGAGACTCAGGGGGGAAAACACAGGAAATGAAGAAAGACACTAGAGTAAAACAGGAAACCAGAAACCAAGACAGACATAAAGCTACTAAAATAAAACACAGGAACTAAAGCATTGAAAACAGAACTAAGAAACAAGATTAAAAAAATCTAAACAAATCCCTGTTCATGACAGACATGGAAAAAACTAATCATCGATCGTTGTTGTTAAATATTTTGTGATTGTTCAGCTTTGTTTTAGAATGCACTAAATTCACAAAATCATTTCACCTTTTCACAAAGATCACTTAGTGTTTGACCCCAATTGTGATATGCTCAAAATCATGCCACTCAAAGGACATACAGTAGCTGAAATCTGTAATAAATATTAAATATAAATATCAAATACTTATGGACATAGATGGACTCTTCATGCAGGTAATAACTTTTGTGAATTCATTTAGATATATTTCATTGATCCAAATATTATTCTTGGCTATGTATCAACCACAGAGAGTTTAGATGAGTAGATTTTCACAGTAATTATGTTCCCTCATGAATGTCAGTTAAAAGCTAACTGGCTGCTACTGCCATATATCTAAAATTTATCAGAACACCAGTCTGAATGTATGTGTGCTCAGCTGCAGGCCAACGTAGATTCGGTTGAGCGTCAGAAGCGTGTGGAACAGGAACTGAACATTGCCATCCAAAAGAAGTTTGCTCAGCTGCAGGAGGAGCAGAGGAGGTGAGTTGTAGTCACTGGGTAGAGTTATTTCGTCCTGCCAACAAAGAAACCTGCGCAGCAGTTGTGTTTATCTATAATTTTGATATTTCACTTTGATCGTGGAAAAATGTATGGAGGTTAAAGTCTGTGAACTTGTATTGAAACAACTATGAAGCTCTGTTTAGAGTAACACAATTCAAAGCCTACTGTTTAGCTCACTGAGTTGAGCATTGGGCCCATGAACAAAGGTTCTCCTCCTATGCAGGCAGCCTGGGTTTCATTCCAGCCTATGGTAATTCCTGATTGTCCCCCCTTCTCTCTACCCCTTTTCCTGTTATACCACTAATAAGGGCCAATAGAGCCAACAAGACTTTTAAAAGTTTAATAACCCAGTTACAAACGTAATTTTGTATCTCATTTAAAAGGTACCAAGCTCTATCTACTTACACACTTTTAAATGTATTTTTGTAGTAGATCAGCCTTCACTTACAAGTTTCTTTCAGTGAATCTCTTTTTCTCTCTTTCCTTTAAGCATTGTGTTATCCCACACACGCAAACGTGGGTTTGGCTGACTCTCAGACAGATAACTGAACATAACAATGTGGCGTGCTTTACTGTAACAGGGTGTGTAGAGTGTGAGAATGATGTAAACATTTTGTAAATGACTCCTCTTGCAGATCTGGTTGACATTAAGTCTAAGTTGACACAAACAGTACAAAACTGTCACACATGTTCACCCTGAATCTGCTGCTGGCAAGAGATACTGATGTTCTATGAATGGAAGAGAAATAAGATAGCTCTGTCAAGTTTTGTGTGACTATTAAGACATGTTCTGTGTTGTTTGCAGGTGTGCCAGCCTTAGCCAAGTAAACTCTGTACTGCGGGAACAACTGGACCAAGCAGACACTGTTAACAAGGGGCTAACAGAGAGCCTTTGGAAGGCCCATGAAGATTTTGAGTTGTGTGATAAACGTCTGCGCAGAGAGCAGGAGGTGGGAAAAACCATGAAAATTAAGTGCTTGAGTCAGAAAGGCAAAAGGGAAGGCTCAAATTCTTCCCTAAGTGCACATAGATTGTGCAATTAAACTCCTGTTGGGTTCACAAGGGGTAGGAATTCCATTCATAGCCAGTTTCATCAATTCACTTGGGTTCGCTGCTCATTTCATTGCTAGGATCTTTCAGTTGTTGTTTCCTGTGAAAACATTCCAACAGCTGAGGGGGAGGAAAACTTTGTGAAAACAATCTGGCTTTCATGCTGTAAATGGGCTACATCTGTTGACTCAGGGAAATCCAATTATTTGTATGTGCCAGCGTGAGTGCAGAAGTTTCAGTATCGCATGTGTTTGACACTCACAACAAAATCAAAAGTGGAGTGTCTAAGAAACTCTTTGCACCGACACTCCACTAGTCTTCATGTCTGCTTGCGTCTTCAGACATGCGCCTTCAGGTCGAGTCGTGAACAGGCTCGTGTCAGAGCTTTGTGGCGCCAGGCAGCCTCCCTGCGGAGCATTTTCACCCAGCTAAGGGCTTTCACTGACAGGTGAGTGAGGCACAATGCCAGAATTCCTCCAGCGACTCAGGATACAACAAGAGCCCCCACCTTTCCTGTGTCTCATTCTCATGACTGCAGAAACTATCCATTGCTTGCCAAAGGATCAAAGTAGAACAGGTCATAAGGGTCACAGGTCCTGTATGCTTGTTGTTTCCTCAGGATTACACAGATAGGTTAAGGTATCTGTATTCACTCTTGAAATGATCCATTTGGACATAGCTCTTGGCTTGAAGCCTTTCTTTCCTACAATCCATGAGTAGCTTTCTTTAGTAATAATTGCCCGGCTTGTTGATAGCTTTGTCATATCAGAGACTGAAGAATAACTGGTGCCCGATCAATCTTTAAACAGGTAGATTTCTCATTAGCTTACTGACTCACAACTCATGAGTGAAGCCATCAGTTCACCCCCTTCACACATTTAACATGTTCTACATCCTTTTTGTATATAATTCTTTTCAACAGGATTCTGTCTGATATGCGTGGTGAATGTGTCACTGTGAGCCAGCAGCTACATGTTGCATGTGTGAGTGTAATGGCCAGAGTTACGGATGAGAGCACCAGCAATGGTGTGGACATGTCCATTCTAGAGATGCAGCTGAGGGGAAAGATGAAAGAAGCCTTGCAGCTTCAAATTCACTGGGATGCTGAGAAAGTTGAATTTAATTCAAGGTAAAGCTCCAAATCCGTTGATCGACCAGGTCAGTTTATAATCATGACATTTAATTAACTATTTCTTCATTAATGATTATCAGAAGCAACATTTTTAAGATATTGTTTTCTACATTATGTGAGGTAATTTAACTGACCCATACCAGAAAAAATTTTGGGCCTGAGGTCATATATATGATATTATCATTTACAAAATTCACATTCTTCTGAAAAGAAAGCTAAATCGAATCCCTGTGAAATTTAAGGACTTTAAATATTGTTACCCTACAATTGTGTTCCTTCTGAAAACTCTTGCTCTGAAATAAGAGAATCCAGACTGACTGATCAAAGCTGCAGTCTTTGTCAGTACAATTATTTTTTGCATGGAATATGATAGGGCTGATGTTCTTGCAGGTTGGGTACATGTCAATATCAGGTAGCTACACATATCCATGAAAAATTATCTCTTTTTAGAATCCTGGAATTGACCAACACCTTGAAGCACATCCAGAGCCAGAGCAATGACAAGGATGCAAGTCTTAACAGCATGCAGATCAGTTTGGACAGGATGGTAAGACTCTGGAAAGGAGCAGTTGGATGTGACAGATAGATGGGTGGTTAAGAGGACTAAATTGGCTGTAGTCTGAACCCCAGGCTTGATAAAGTCCACAACTTCCTAGTCAAGAGGGAGACTAGTCTGGAGAATGTCAGACCTACTTTACATATATCGCTTATCTGACTCAAATGGTTTCCTGCTCAGGAGTCGAGGAGAACAGAGGATAAAGTAGAAATGGAAGCACTCCGTGGAGAGATCCAGGCCTACCAAAAGATTCTATACCATATTCACCAGGTAACAAGTAAACAGTATTTTAAACAGCATCTTGTTTAATCATGAGGCTATTAACCTTTGGTTTAATCACCTCCAATACATCTCCAGTTGGTTTGCAGAGACGGTGAGGGCACTGAAACGTTTTCCTCACATCTCTATGAGCATTCTCCATTAAAAAACGCTACCCTGAATGCTGTACAGAATGCACTCTTCAGCCATGAGAAACAATCACAGGTGTCTCAACTGTACTGATATAAGAAATGACAACAAAATATTAAATTGCTAAATAGAATTGGCAAAATATCACAAACTTAATGATTTGTTCACATATAAACTGCAGGACCTTCACTCTCATTTGGAGGCAGCGTTGGTTCAAGTGGACATATTTCGTGATCGTCTACAAGCAAATCATCTTGAGAAGATAAAGATGGAGCAGACAGTCCAGGAAGTACAGAGGGAAAGACAAAAGACTGAAAAAGCTCTGGAGGAAAGCCTTAAAGAAAGCAACAATTATCTTTCCTCACTGGAGCTCATGTCCAGGTTCAACTTAATCACAGTTATACAACCACATTCGGTGTCTTTGTTTTATTTGAACTCTGACTTTCTCCATGTCACACAGTGAAAAACAAAGCCTGGAAAAGTTGCTCTTAGGGCTGCATCAGGAGGTGGACTCCCAGCGAGTTGAGCTGGAAGTCCTGCGGAGCTCATCACAGGACCTCCAGAGGAATCAGGACCTCCTAAGGCAGCAGAGGGAGGACCTGGAGATGCAGCTGGCATGCCAGTGCACCAAGGCTCAAAGAGGGTACAGATGAACACAGAGAATGGCCATTGCACATTAGAATAATCGAGAGTGCTTTTCCATGCTACATATGTTTAGAGTTTAAACCAAGAACATATGTCATGTTCCGGCCAGTAATGCACCCAGATGACATTTTAAATGAAAATGTAAATTATTTACATACTGCTCTTATGCAAGAATGATACTTTATTCTATTTCTTCAGAATTTCTTTAGCTAAAAGATTTGATTAGCTGAGAACTGGAGCAGGACATGCGATCAAGCAGCAAAAAAGGAAAAAAACAAACTCCCTTAGTGGTTTGGCCTTTGGCACTAACATTTCTCCATTTTTTCAAAGTGGAGATGGATTTCATATGAGGGATATTGTTTGTGGGACAAAGAAACAATTTTAGAGAATTACATGTTACATTTCATGTTTCAGTGATAGGAGTCTGCAGGAGCTTGAAGTTAAGCACTCAAATCTGAACAAGGAGCTTATTATGATGAAGGAAGTTTTGAGTCAAATAACTCTGCAGAAGGAGCTGTTGGAGAATGAAAAGGCTAGCCTTACAATGGCTCTAAACAAGGTAAAGTGCTTTACGTGTGGTACAGCAATCATGATTCATGAGATCTATGTTTGTCTTGATCGTTTTTATTCTCATTATATTCACTGATTATCTCTAAAGTTAGAATCCCATAGTGCCACACAGGAGTGTGCTCTGGCCAAACTACAAAATCAGGAGGCTGCCTTAAAAGATTCTCTTGCCAAAATGGCAGCCCTTAATGAGGGCTTAGCGAAAGACAAGGTGGACCTAAATCGCATTATAATGCAGGTCGGTCCCTCTTCACTTGTACAGTTAAGATGCAAAGAAAATAAAAGATGAAGAAAATATTTTGATTTCCCTTTCAGTCAGAAAGTCAAAAGGCAGAACTTGATGAACGTAGGCGGGAAGCTGAATTGCAACGAGCAGCAGCTAGAGAAGAGTCAGTACGGGTGCTAAAGGACGTTATGAATCTTACTGCTGACAAACAAGCCCTGGAGAGCTCCAACATTCAATTACAAGATATCTGCCAGAAGCTGGAAGCAGAGATGAACCTCATGCAGAAGGAGAAAGCCTGGTCTCTGGAGAGGCACTCCCAGGTCAGAGACCACTGGTCATTCACACTCTCCCTGGCTCCCAACACCTGGGAGAGCAATTTTCATGTCATGAATAGATTTCATCACTTTCATGGAGCTTGTTGTTACATTAACACATATAGGAGGTCATGGACACATCTGCCACATTGTTTTCTTTCACATGGAATATGGAGAGCAGTTTTGGCACCTCATTGTGTTTTATGAGTAACTTGGGACATAGCAAGCACGGGATATTCATGAACAAATGTGTACCGAGAAAGATAAATAGATGGACTTGTTATATCCAGTAGGGTTTTAATAAAGGTGCCAAAATATAGCACCTTTAGGATTCCCATTCTTTTTCAATAGATCTCTCTGTTTTGTCCTGAGAAGAGTTCAGATAATTCATTTCTGTTTTGTTATCTGTTCCAAGCACAAAACTGGGATATTTGTTACTCAGAGCTGAAATATTAAACACCTAAACATTTTGACAAATTCCTTTCAAACATTTTTAGATAACATATCTACAAAAATAAACCAACTTTGAATAAAACAAGGCCTGTGTGGCCTGCCCTGCATTCATAGGGCAAAAGTCCCATCCATAACATGTAATTCTTTCTTTTTCATATTTATGCAAAAAGGAGGCCCAAGGATGTAGTGCTTATATGTAGTAAATGTGAGGTAATGTCATTCAAAAATCAAATTACAATCATTGTTTGTTTTAAACACTCTGTTACTGTGAACCATTAGAAATTGCAACAGGCCGATAAATTCAGTATAGTGTGGCCATGTGTCATAAGCCATGTTGAAATCTTGATTGTATAGCGCAGAATATCAAATAGAGTTGGGGTGTTACAGTTACCAAAAATAAAAATAAAAATACAACAAGTGTTTTATTGTTGTATTATGAATTTTATGTTAGGAATAATGATTTTCCTTTAAACAATACAATGATCATCTACCATACACTCTCAATTTCATCTCGCTAAATTTTAGAAATGGCACTTGAATACTACTATTAAAGTTAAGGAAAATCCACATACACCCACTAAAATACACTTGGGTTTCGGGGAGGGAGTTTTTGCTCAGCTTAGCTGAAGCATTACAGTAGTCAGACATGGTATCAATTATCAAACTAAAAGGTAGGAACAAAGTTCATTAAAAAAAAAGGTTTTACGTTGAACTTTTTACCTGTAAGAATGAATTGTTAAGGTCACCCTCACAGAGGGATTAAAATCACATGCAAATGCACTGAATCAAATAAAATCATATTTAAATATGTTTCCACAGTAAATTATCTGCTCTTCTGGGTAGTTTCCCCAAAGTTCATCCCAAAAGAGTCCTCTCTGCATTACCTCCTTGCATTTTTTTTTAATCAGACAATTTGAAGACAGATGTTGATTAAAATTCCATAAATTGTAGATAGAGTTAGATGTTTTATTGCCATATATAGGTTTGGTGTGTCCGAGTGATTTAAATAGCAGTTGGACCAAAGTTGCAAATGTACCAATCATTCTTGTTTTGCTCAAGAAAAGTGTTGGGTTCACTATTAGTTCAGCAATTCTGGCCTTATAAATTGTAGAGATTGAATGATTCATTCTCAATTGCGGCTCCTCATGCTCCTCCAGATGGAAATGAATTAATACATTTTAAAGCTTGTATGCTGTCTTTTAAGGCATATAATAATATAGCATTGTAAAGGGGAAAGGTTTGGTAGTTTTTGTTTAGTTTTTTTCCTCTTTTGTATCTCCAGGTCGAAAGTCAGATGCAGACTCTGACAGAGGAGCTGTTTGTATCTAGGATGGAGCTTGAGGCAAAGACCACAGCTGTGGAAACAGCTGCCCGTGACAGGGAGGAGTTGGTCAAGGACAAGGCAGCTCTGGACGTCAAACTAAACTCCACAGACCGAAAGGCTTGCGGTCTCTCTCAGGAGCTGGTTTTGCTGAGGTCTGAGCATGTCTATGTGTTTGTGTGTACTTTTTGGTTTCGTTTGACCTCTGAAATATTTTGAACCAATTTGTTAGTTATTACCAGATTGTTTACAGCTAAACATTGGGGAATTTTCAAGGTTAATATAAAGGTTGAAGAATGAAACTGTAATGTTTAGGTGCAGTGTAAGGAAATAATTCTAAGTTAGCCAAACACTCAAAAGTATCATAAATCTAAAAACACAACAATGCGGCTTGCTTAAGGGCAATTGTGTACATTTTCCTTCTAGAGCATAGTCAATCTCATATAACAGGAGTCTTTACGTAATGCAGTTTTATATGGAAAATATGGTTGTAATGGATTATTGGATTTTATGACCTTCAGCGCCTTGAAGTTCAAAGGTCTTTTTTCAATAATCGAACATCTGCACTACTGTGTTCCAGAGCAGAGAAGATATCCCTGGAGAGAGCTTTATTTGAGAGCCAGGAGCATTCTGCATCTCTGGAGGTAGAGCTTGCCAGGTTGGAGGACGAGAGGCACAAACTGATGCTGGCTAACATGGCTTTGACGCGTGAGTGGCCTCCCTCCCTCAGGGACACCGCTGTTTTCCGTGCCAAGTGCCTTGACTATTTAGCCCCTTAAGCAGCCCACCAGAGATCTGTATTTCAGTTCTGAACTCTGCAACAGCTGGGCTCCAGCATCACTGGAGCTGCTTTCTCAGCTGTCCAGGGTCTCAGTACTGTACGCAAACACACGTGGATCACATAAATAATGTTAAGCTAGAATGTAAAGCTGTGAATGAGTATAACAGATTAATAAAACCAATTGAATCTTGCTGATCCTGAAAAATATCTGTTTATGAGTATTGGGTAGATAAATGTCATTAGTATCAGGTATAGTATAGTGCATTTCTCTATGCAGGTGATGCTCAGATGCACGTGGCAACTGAACAACAGCTTTCAGAAGCTGCACAACATCTGGGCGAGTTAGAGAAGAAGTTGGCTCAGGCGGAGAGAAATGCCCAGTTGATGCTGAAGAAAAATGAGCAAAATCACAGAGAGCAGCTAGAAGCTGAACGCCAGCAAAAGGTACAGCATAGGTTGGGTAACGCTCTGTGAAAAGCCAAGCCAGAGACAATGCTACATTGAGGTCAAGTCCCCGTTTGAATGCATTTTAACCCGCCAGTATCCATTACAGTGACAACACTGAGTTGACCAAAATCTGTATATTATATCTTGATAAAATATGCATTAAAGCAGTCTTACAACAGTTAACAATCCTATCTATCCTATTTTATCTATTACCCTGGTTGCTAATCAGATTTTCAAGCTATATGTCAACTATTTAGAATCAAGAGTTAGTTTTTCTTTCTGTTTTACAGGAGCAGCAGCATGCAGAGGTGATGGTTCAACAGCAGCAAGCCCAAGAACAGCTGCGGAAACAATGTGAGGAGCTGAGTGTGCACAGCCAAAAGGAGCTGCAGCAGGTGCAGGAAGAACTAACTGGGCTGCAGAGGGAGTTCAGCCAAAGACTACTGATGGCCGAGAGTGAAAAGCAGCAGGTTTGTGAAATGGTCTTTAATAATTTGCATAATTGAGTATTTTAAAAGAAATCAAGCATTAAGGAATTATCCTGCTAATATGTGTATCAAACGTGTCACCATCATTGTGATATTATATTCAATCTTAGTTCCTTTTTTCTCAAACCCCTTAAATCCACATTAACATTGTCAACTGTACAGAAATGAACCTGACATGATAGTCTATTGTGTTCAGGCTTTGTCTCAGAAGGAGGCAGAGAAGGCTATCCTTATAGAAAAGATGCAATCCCTGCAGCATGATGTGGCCACAGCAGACATGGAGATCGAACGCATGCAAAGGATGGCACTAAGCAAACAGGGGCAGGATGAGGTAAAATATCACTGGGCCTCGCTTGCCCCTTGTCCGCTTATTTATGCTTTGCAGGTAATTTACCTAATAGATTTTTGTCTTTCTTCGTTTTCAGAATGCAATTGCTGTCCTTAAATCTGAGCTGCAAAACATGCAAACTCAGTTTGAAGAGTCTCTAATCACTCATCGGAATGCAAATGATAGTCTCATGGAGCAGGTCAGAGAGTTGAACCAACAGAACGAGCAGGCTAAACAGGAGGTAGGAACAGTTTTTGTGAGTATTTCCTTTAAGATAAACATTGCGCTTGTTGCTTTAGTGAGACTTGTACAACATGTGTTGCAATTATGACTCGAACTGACCTCCATGATAAATCACAGTATATATAGTGTATGGCCAGTAGATAAATGGTAGAAGTTGTTTGTACTGTATGATCATAGAAATTAAAGGAAATTTCTGAAGTGTTTGGCTTGGCAAAGAATGGAAGAGCTCTGCTTCTAGTGTTAGCAAGAATTTGCACCAATTAGTACCAGTGTAACGGAGAGCCATTTAACATAGACCCATGTTGACATTGGCTGGTGTCAAAGAGCTGTACTAGCATCAGGGTGCCATCAGGTGCAGGAGCACACAGCCAAATCCTACAAGGAGACGTAGTGTAGTGTCCTCTCTTAATACTCTCTCTGCGCTCCTTTTCTCTGTCCTTTTTCCTGTCAAATCCACAGGAGGAAAATTTTGCTCTGTTGACCTTAATATAAACAAAGAACTGCAATTACAGACCATAATTTGGCCTAGCAATACACCTCACCGAGCCAAATGAGAGCTGTAAATCGCATCTCTTGGGGTTGCATGAGGTCAGGATTCCAGGCACAGGGTCGCCGGGTGTTTTAGTGAAATAACAAGCTCACACTCACTTAATTTAGATGTAGCTGCAGAGTAGTACTGGCTTCAACAATTCTTGATTTAAAAGCATGGATTCCTTGGAAAAGGGGGATTGTTTATCTGTGTGGGATTTTTTGGTTTCCATTAAAAAAAGAAGCAGAAATTAGGGTCACCCTGTCTTCAGGCTGTCTCCTTAGCCTTGTCAAAACATAGTCGATGAGCATGTGTGGAGCCAGTGCAGAAGAGTTTTTAGGCTTGGTCAGCCCTCCCTGCCATATATCAAGTCAAACTTCTGCAACTCATATTTGGCCACAACCCCTGCTTGTTTCCATGTTTGATTGTTTTCACTGATCGTAGCTGTGGATTCTCATGTCGGATAGTTAAAATGCAGAAGGGAGAATGTGTGACAAAGAAGTAGAGAGCAAGTTGAGATAGCGAGGATGAAAAAGTGGAGGTTATGGTCCCTGGTACCATAATATATCAAATAAAAGTTTGAGTTAACCCCTTGTGTAAATAAGCCAGAGGGAGAGTGTTTATTTTCACCCTTGCAGCAGCGAGAGGCTGGCTCCACTGGGACTCCAGGTCCCTCTCTCCCATTCATATAACACAACACTGCTGCCCTCATATTCCCTGATTTTCTCTTTCACTCCCTACACCCCTAAATCAGATAACATAAAGTATAATTGACTAGATCTGCGCTAGCTTGTTTTTTCTCACATTCGAGTTTATGAGAGGGAACCATCTTGTGTGGCCTCTAAACATAACACTCCTTCTCTTCGTTATCCTCCCTTTTTAGCTCCTCGCAATCCTTCACTTGTTCACTAGTTCATGGGGGGCTGCAGTTTTTCATGTCGATCTCTCCAAATTCTGTACTCTGTTAGCTGCAAAGAGGAGATAGGGAGAGACAGCACCTGGCTGAGTTCCCAAATGGCTCATTTCTGTGCATAGATAAGTTCAGGCCTCCCTATTTCTCTCACCACACACAGAATATTGCTATAAAACAGAATATAGGTCATAGAGTATCTTGAGATTGTGCATACAACACCTGAAATTGTTTATGTTAATCTTTAGCTTTCAAAGAGCGACAATGTCATTGTTATGTCATCTAAGTCAGTGTTACAGAAATACTTTTTCGCATTTGACAAATATCTGGACGCAAAATAAAGTTAAATAATGTTTGGTCATTTCTTTCTTTTTTAATCATTAAATCATGTAGCTAGAGGGTTTTCGTAAGCATCTGAAAGATGCAGAAGATGGATTCATAAAAGGTCAGAGAGATCTGATTGAGGCTCACAGACAGCTTCAGAGCTGTGCTCATGAGCGAGACGAGTTACGAAAAGAAGCACTGGACCTAAAACAACTGGTTGGTGATAAAACAAGAGAAAAAGAAGCCATCCAAGGGTCTAACCTAGAGCTTAGAGCATTCGTCAAAAAAGCAGAGAGTGACAACAGCAGGTATGGCTCTCACAGCAGATTATGGAGTTCCTATAAAGTTTGTTGTACTATAACAAAAAATATGTCTTTGGGACACTTTCTAGTTTGAGAAGAGCTCTGGAGGAGAAAAAACAGAGAGTGTCCATCTTGGAGGAATGTAAGGTGTCCATGCAGCAGGAGAAAACCTCCCTAAGTAGAAGTTTGAGAGAACTGGAGAAGTCTTATCTGCGGGCCCGCAGAGAGCTGCAAGAGCTTCGCAGACAGGTGAGACATTATTTTTGTCAGTGGTTTGCAATTTATTTTCAATAAAGCATGATCTTCAAATGGTACCTGCCATCTTAATGTGAACAGGTAAAAGTCCTGGAAGGCGAGAACAACCGACAGAAACAGGAACTAGGGGAATTGCAGGCTCGAGGATGTCAGGAGGAGCAGAAGGAGGAGGAGGCACGTCTTGAGGCTTTCACTCTCAGGCAGAGATTGCTGGAGTGTGAGGCTTGCAGAGAAGCAGCACTAAATGAGGTAGAAGGCCTCCAGGAATGACTCTGTTATGAACATGCTAGAGCAAACAATCCTCCTTGGCTTAAATACTTTAGAAATACTTGACATTCTCATACAAAGACTGAGCATGAACCATAACATATAAAACATTTAAACACTCATTATTGTTTTTAAAGAGCTGTTCACTAAATACAATTGAGCAACAGCACAAAACATCCCTTCACATTCTTACTCATAGAGTACAAATGTTAGTTTGCTTGATAATTTAGCAAAATATATGAAAAAATATCTCTCTCATCCAGTACTATTTAATTAAGCATTTTGTATTTCGTAATATTTTGTATTTTCTCTCTACGGTAATAGTTGTGTAACTGAGTTCATGAGTGTGGAAGCAGGCTTCTCGGAAATAATTACTCATAGTTAGCAATCATTAGAAGCCTAAATAATGCATCAGTTTTTCAAAAAGCTATGGGTCTACATGGGTTTACCTACATTTTTATGACCCTATCAAATAATAAGCATCATATTCTGAAGGAAGGAAAGACCAGAAGAAGTAAAAAAAAGAGTTAGTTGGCCATATATTATATTGTGTTATCTTATATTGTTTAATGCCTGTAACTCCTTAAAAGATAAGAATCATTCAAATAGAATTGTGCTCTTATTACAACAAAATGTTATTCAATGCTGTCACGTAAATGCAGTTTTCAATGTACCTTATCAAGAGCCCAAACTAACGAGGTAGTTTTCAGAAAGTTTCGAGCTTTTAATCGTGCTTTTTTGATATGCCGCCTACAACGGGACACGCTGCCGTTGTTTACTCTGGGGAACAGCTGATCGAAAATCATTTCCCTCTGGGATTATTAAAGTATTTCTGATTCTGATTCTGATTCTGAAAAGTGTTGAAGATTATGGGTAATTACATGATGCATAACAGACCACAAATATTAACGGTATACCAATTAATCTATTGTATCATAAATGTTGTACAGAAGTGTAGAAAGTTTTCTTTGCATATTTGCACAGGTTGCAGGTCTTCAGTGTTGTGTGAAGGAAATGGAAACAGCCAAACAACAGAGCCAAGAGCTGCTACAGGAAAAGGTGTCTTATCAGCATCAGAGTAACCAGATGCATGAAGAAGCCACTGCTAAGCTGGAGGCAGACCTAGAAAATTCTAAAATCGAGGTCAAGGATCTCACTGTTCAGATTGGTGTCGCTAACAACAAGGCCCAAAACCTTGAAAAACAGCTAGATCTAAGTGATGCCAAATGCAGGCACCTGGAGCACCATCTGGCCAGACTGTACACAGCTCTACACCAAACCTTTGGCATCAACCACACAAGGCTCTTTGACAAACCAGGACCACAAAGACGGTCTCTATCGCCCTTGAAAAGGTGCTCGGAAGTGAAAGGTGAAACTTGGATTTTTTTGATAATAGGACTTCTCCTAAGTGGGGAAATGATTGCTGGCCTTGATGTTGAACTAAAAAAGTGGGATCTGTTTTTTTAAGGGAGAGACAGTGTAACAGAGCTATCCATGTTGACTTTGCGACATGGTGAAGATGAGGAATGGAACGTGGACGCTGTGAGCACAGCCATCCAGAAATTCGTCCAGGAATTTAGGAATACACAAAGAGATAGGGTATAAATAAAGTTCTTAAAAACTTAATTGAAATGCCGTAACAACTAATTGGCTAACAATTGAAAATTTTACTTTTATTTCTTCAGGATGAAGCCAAGGCTCAGATAGTCAGTCTGAGTCAACATGTTTCAACATTAAAAGACTCTCAGGATAAGTTGAGAATGCAGCTGCTGCAAGTAAACAAGTCCTTGAAACAATCGGAAGACGGTGAGAAAGCCAGTGTTTTTTTTTCAGTGCACACAAAGCATTAGTTTTTAATGTTTTACATTGATGTGTTTTTATGCTCCTTAAGGAAAACAAAAATTGGCAGAAGAGTTGAAAGAGGCACAGACTTCCCATTCCATACTGCAAGATGTAATAAACCGTACTGACATGGAGAAGAGAAGTCTTGAGAAAGAGTTGGTTCAACTCAGGACTAGTCTGCATTCTTCTCAGACTGAATCTATAACACTACAGGTATGTAAAAGCCAAAGCCTTATAGAAGAGAAGACCACACTGCATCTTTGGTAAGACTGAAAAAGATCCTTTCCTAATTCCTTATTATAGAACAAGTTGGACATCTTACAAAGGTTAGAATCTTGTGCAAACCTGGAAAAGCTTAAGCTCAAAGAGTCTCTGGAGGAAGCAGAAAGCAAAGCGAACCGTATCGAGCTCTACCAATGCACCCTTGAGGGTGAGTTGCAGAGGACTCAGCTGAGAGCAGCAGAGCTGGAAGTGGAGGCTGGGGCCCTGCAGGAGAGACTGAAAGACATGAGGAGAAAACTGAGTAAAAGTGAGAACCAATGTGCTGTGCTAAGGGTCAGCGAGGAGAGGCTTGCCACTTCTCTGGCTAGGGCCGAGAGGCATGAGAGCCAGCTGAGGGAGCAGAATAAAAAACTTTCAAGCACTGTCTGTAACAACGTGACCAATGCTGAAGGTCTACAGGAGCAGTTAACACAGCTGCAAACGGCCCTGACTGCCAGTGAGCAGGACCGAAGGTTGTTGCAGGTAGGTCCAATAAACAAAAAAGTTCAACTCCTCTCATAACTAAATCAATTAGTCAAGCTTAAAGTTTGAATGAAATTGATTGAAAGCCATTCATTTGTAGCTCTTTTATCCTATCAGTTCCACTGTATTTGCATTTTCCCTTGCGTCTCTGGCTTTCCAGATGTGCCTCAAAATCTTTTTTAGCATAAATGTTCTTATTTGTTGATTTTCTCAGTGATAGGAAGATCCCTTCCCCTGTATAATTGCCTGAGTGTTTGTACACATAGGAACATCTGGATAAAACACGAGACGCTCTCTCAGAGAAGAAGAGGCAGAACCATACGCTCACCGTTCAGAGTCAGAACTTTCAAAGAGCACAGGAGGACTTGGAGCTTAAACTTTCTGAGCTGGAGAAACATAACAGGACACTGAGGGAGGTGAGTCACACCACTGAAGTGTAAGTAAATAAGGGTACAAAGGTTGAAGCACTGTTTTGATGAAACATTGATTGACTGTGCCCCAGAGCCTGAAGCAACAGCAGGAGGCTGAACTGCAAACTTCCCAGCAGCTGCAGAGAGACAAAGAAGAACTCCAAGAAAAGCTCTGCGATCTGCAGAGCTCTTTGCGAAAGCTTCAGAATGAGAGAGGGGCGTTGGAGAAGGTACTGGCACGTATCGGTAAAGACAAGTCTGCTCTCAGAAAGACCCTAGAGAAGGTGAGATTAACTGCCTGCAGTGCACTTTAATACACAAGTTTGGCCTATTGAAAAATAATGTTCTATATTTCTCAAAAGTCCAAGAACTCCAAAACCTTAAATTGTTTTGGTCAGTGGATTTAAAAATAATCTCTGTGCTGAATATGAAGTCAAACATCTGAATTATATGAGGGAACCAAACCACAATGAGCTTTGACTGCAATTAAAGCATCATAAAATCAATTCTACAACTGCTGGAAGCTGTTGCACAGAAATCAGCCAGGACTGAAATAATATGCCTGATGTTCATGGACTTGCTGCTACGTCCTGAACCAAGCAGAGACATACAGCTGCTGAGGCACTGAGACACATAATTGAGCAGTTACATTAATCTTTGCTGGAAATTATTTGAATAATTTGCCGCTTTATTATTCTATAATTACAACATCCTTTATTTTCTACATTGCACAAAGTGACCTGAAATTGACAGAGAAATGTTACTGGTTTGTGAGATGCAGACGGCTCTGTGATTGCTTTTTTGAAACAAGCATTACAAAAATACATTTACACCACCACCTGTCACCTTTTGTGCTGTCAGGTGGAGATGGAGAGGTTGAGGAAGGAGGAGGAGGCAGCATTTGCTGCCAGGGAGAGAACGCTGTTGGAGCAGAGAGTCTGCAGCCTGGAACAGGAGCTAGCTGCCAAACAGGAAATGCTGGAGACTATGCAGGTGCAAAGTTCTAGGATCAGAGGGCAGAACTCTAGAGGACACGTTAATTAAAATTAGTTAATGTTGAGTGGTAATCACACATATTTATTCATATGGCATCCTTCTTGAACACGACACAAGTAAACATATGAACTTAACCAATGTTGCATGGCAAGATGAACAAGGAATAGAATTTTTGGGGATAAATTTGAACCTTGCCATAAATTTGGAGAACTTGCATTTGCTTTTTCACATCAAAGAAATATAAAAGCTGCCTTCCATTAACTTGTTTTTTATTGGCTGCAACAGAGTTAAGATCTGTGTTGTCCTAATGCTCAAATGCTGAATACAGCTGAGACACATCATAAGAATGTCCTGACCTTTAACGTTTTCTACTGCTGTATTTTCAGTTATGTAAACCTCAAATGAAACTTCCCTCAGGGCAAAATCTCCCAGTTGGATCACTCTCATGCACAGTGCCTCCTGGAGGTGACTACCTGTCATCACCGAGTTTTGGATGTAGAAACAGATGGTTCGAGCGACAGCCAGCTTCAAGCACAGTTGGCTATAGAGAACAGGCAGAGGGCTCATAGGGTTAAATGCGTGGACAAGCAGGTATCATAGTAAAAAAAAATTCCTGAAAAGGTGGGTTTAATTTTACAAATGAGTTTGTTTTCTTCGCTCTTTGACTTTAAAAGACTCTCAAAGAGCAGCTGGATCAGGAGAGGCGAGAGGCCTGTTTTAGTCAAATGCTTCAGCCTGGTGTGTAGGCAGTGAAGTATGAGGCACATCTGTATACTAACCTTGCTGTCCTCCCTGGCAGCTTCCCAAATGCTGCGTGTCTTAAGTTACATTCTCACTTTGGATGCATACTAAACACGCGCCCAATGCTTTTGCACCCACCCTGCACATGTGCACACCGGATTACATTAATCGGCTGGAAAAGCGAACAACAACAACAAACAATGACTGTTTTGTTCAAAGGTGGGCAGGATGTGCTCATTTGTTTTTTAAGATTTCCAGTGGCTCACTACTTTCCCTGTCAGATTTTCCTGTATTATGTTTGAGGAAATAATGTCATGAACGTTTTCATCAGCTTGGCTTTCTTTTTCTTTTACAATTGGTGATGCTGTCATTTGTATTATCAATCATGCACTTGCTATTTATGTGCTCATCAATATATATTATGCCATGATATTTAATTGTTTGTGTGTTTTAATCATATTATACGGGCACATTTGTAAAAGAAAAGAGATCCGTATGTTTAGATTGTCAACTAATTCTGATTGATTTTGAAATATCACGAAAAATCTCATAAATAAATATGCTATGTACTGTACTATATCTGATTTTCCTAATGTTGGTGGGTCCAATATTTCTGATAATTTTCAATAAAACTGAGTCCATCTATATGCAGCTACACAGTCTTCATTTTTACAGAATAAATGACAATTACTCTGCTTCCAGCAAAACCTTGTCACCAAAACATTTCTATGAGGTTTTACAGAATAAATGACAATTACTCTGCTTCCAGCAAAACCTTGTCACCAAAACATTTCTATGAGGTTTGTAAATGGAATTCCTTCTCTTTCGGATTTACTGTTGCACGTGTGAGATTATCATAGAGGATGGTACTGTTTATTCTTATTTCTTTAAAGATTGTTTCAGATATGAATATGTGGTGACTTTGGGCATGTTTTTTATATCACCTGCACTACCTTTCATTTAACCTCTTACAACCATATTTTCTGTTCACATTTTTAGATCACAGCAAAGCATTCCTTGGTAACTGTACACAGAAACAGTTCCACCAAAAGAGGGGAAACTTGTCAGAGTTTCTTTAAAGCAGCTCTTTGATTATCATAGGTCCGCCCAGTGGTTATCCTATTACCAGCCTCTTCTTCACTATTGGCTGGAAGGAGCTAATTATGCAAGGTAGTGAATCCCTGTGGGGGAGGTGGGGCCAAAGCTGAAAGAGTTCCTTTGGCAAGCAGAATAGAGCTTTTATTGAGGATATTTCTAAGCTGACCATCAGGGACCAAATAACTGGATTGTTTGAAAAAAAAAAAACATCTCAGCTGAATCACGCTGCTCCCCCCTCTTTCATTCCTTCCCTCGTTTCATTTCAGTGAGACGGAGTGTAGCTCATGCAGTGCCCGGCAGCAAGCAGAATGCAAGGAATCCACAGTATTACCTTGTCTAACAGTAGAAACCACGCTCGCTGCTAAAGGACAAGTGAGGAGAGACAGGGGCAGAACCAGGAAAGGATTCCAGTTTCTGCAGCTGAGAGAAGGAACGCACGGTCTTGTCCTGTTCTGCTCTGCACTTGTTGCCTGAGGTGTGTGTGCTCCTCCCTCCCTTCCGCAGTGCCTGCTGTCAGCTCCATCCCTGGGTGGCTGAGGCCATGGTGCTGGGTCTGCGAGCCCTGCTGTCCTGCTTCTGCACCCTTATCTCCTTGAACCTGCTGCCCAGGGTGGAACTTGCCGTGCCCTTGGAGGACTTCTACCCCTTTGGCCAGGAGAAAGGGGATACCCTGACCATTGCTCAGGACGATGGAGGTTCCGGGCTCCAGAAGATCTCTGTTGCCTTCCCCTTTTTTGGAGACAGGCACACAGGGCTTTACGTGAGTACTGAAGTGTTTTTTGGCTTTTTTTTTTTTTGCTGAGGTGTATGATGTTGAAAGATTGAAAAATGTTATGCATCATATTAATATTAATGTGTGTGCATGCACTGACATGGTGTGAACATAGTGTGAGATTTGGTAGACACACAGTTAATACACTGAAGTTCCTTTTGAGAGTTTGTAAATGTTCATGTGCTCTTGTGTACTCTGCTATGTAATCTCAGTTGTAGAATATTATGTGTTCCCCTTACGGGTGGCATCATAATCCATCCATCCATCCATCCATTATCAATACCGCTTATTCCCTCATGGGGTCGCGGGGGGAACTGGAGCCTATCCCAGTGGTCAACGGGCGAGAGGCAGGGTACACCCTGGACAGTCCGCCAGTCCATCGCAGGGCCACACACAGAGACACACAAGGACAAACAACCACTCACACTCACATTCACTCCTAAGGGCAATTTCCCCAATCTCCAATCCACCTAACATGCAGGTTTTTGGACTGTGGGAGGAAGCCGGAGAACCCGGAGAGAACCCACGCAGACACAGGGAGAACATGCAAACTCCACCCAGAAAGGTCCTGGTTCCCCCGGGATTCGAACCCAGAACCCTCTTGCTGGGAGGCGACAGTGCTAACCACCACACCACCGTGCCGCCCGCATCATAATCCTCTCTGGCTTTTTCTCTTTACTTCACATCTGCACTTCCTACACTCAAAGAGCGGAGAGCTCCCCACTCCACAAGGGAACTGTGAAAGACAAACCACTTGCGTAACAGTGGTAACTCTCGTTAGTATAAATCTACAAAGAGCTGTTTAAGGAAATGACAGTTTGTGTTTTTGCTGCTGCCGGAGCATCTGTGAGCTGTTCTTTTTCACAAGAAGTGGGAGTGGGGAGAAAATATGCAGAGAGAGAAACAGTGCTCATTGGAGGAAGCCAAATGGTTTGACAAGGATTTTCGCGCACCACAGTGGAACACCCTTTGATCTGCCTTTGTCATGTATTGGGTTCAGTTCCAGCGCATGGAAAGACAGAACTCCCTTAAATCAACACCACCTGTTGTGGTTATGCATCCACGCTTGCTCTCTGAATGTCTCCTTCCTCACTTGGAGCCTGCCTTCCTCTTTCTCTGCTTGGGCTGAGAGCAGGAGAGGCTGAGGAACCATGGCAACAATGGGCAAGGTCAAAGGTTGTCTTTCTAATCTAAGATAGAAATTTGCGCCAATGTGTGTCAGGCCTGACTTGCAGTGAAGAAATATTTCAAACTTTTCTGCAACAAACAGTGAGTGTTTATAACTATAGTGTTTGAACTCTTTCAAGTCAAAATTGTTTGTGTAAAGCTAATTTATCCTCTTGGTTTTGCAAAAAAATCCCTGTTAGTAATGCAGATACTTAATTGTCTAATTAGGCAAAATAAAAACTTCCTCTGTTTGCTTTACTTGTGGATCACAGATTGATTCATTGGCTGAGACAGATTAAAATTTAGGTACTTAAAATTTTAACGAGCAATGGACGGGTGACCTGTCCAGGGTCTACCGCGCCTCTCACCCGTTGTCAGCTGGGATATGCTCCAACCCCCCCCCCGCGACCACATTCAGAATAAGGTGTATAGAAAATGAGTGCTGTCGTAGAGGTCATGTGATATCCTGTATCTTCCACTGCATTTCATTGAGTGAGATATTCTGGCAGGCTCTTGAAATTGTAGTCTTGCTCTTTTTAAATGGCTCACCTGAATCCATCAAACGCCTGCTGTAAATTGAGCAGGCCACAGGGGGCTATTTGCTGCCAGAGATCTACTTTGAATAGGTAATGTTAAGTACTTAGAGGGAAATTTGTATCAATAATTCCTCCCAGGACTTGGTTCCAAGCTTCCAGGCTGCTGCCACATGGAAGCTGTCGAAGCAAACAGATTTTGGACCACGCCTATGTGTGTGTGTGAGCTGTCTTTTTTCATAATCATTACCAAATCCCTATGAGCAGAGCACATGCTGTGTTATTTTTTTGAACCTTTGTCCCCTTCTAAAACAAAACGTCTTATTTTCAACAGTTGCCATCAACAAAAACAGCTGTAAATGTCAGATCTAGCGTAGCCACACAGCACATGGTAACAGTGTTTTAATGTCACTTTGAAATCCCACCATGAACCTGGGTCTTACCCAACTTCCAGTCCTATTTATGCTTCATGGTAACTAGGCTGTCCCTCTGTTATGGTTTGTATCTGGGAGTTTTCTCATGTTGCTGGGATCTCTCCTCCATCTCCTCCCCCTCCTCTGTGTCCTCCCTCCCCTTCCTCCCACGCCTCAGATAGCATGGCAGGGGTCTTCCCCCTGGAACTGTCCAGCTGCTTTATCTGAGAAATGACCGATCACTTTAACAGAACACAGATGTATCTGCAAGGGATCTTAAAGAGCTTCCAAACAACGCAGTTCACAGATCAACTTCTCCTTGGATGGCTGGTGTAAAGAACATGATTGTGGACATCCAGAGTCCGACAGGAAAGAACACAACTTTAACAGCAGTTTTTTTTGTACAGTGGAAAAACTGTATCGGTCATTCAGTAGTATTATAAACAAATGCATTTCATGCATTTCCTCCGAAAAGCCAGGAACAGTGTGATTACACTCTTTACAGATTACGCATCTGCAATTGCTCGTTTGGCGTTCTAAAAAGACATAACACTTTTTGCAATTTCATTTAGTCCATTTCACTCAGCGGTCATATTCTTTAATTCTTTGTACTCAGTATGTGTGTTTCTTTTTTGTTATACATATGCGGGATGAAAGGCATGACAGAGAAGCACTGCAGCAGCAATGCAACAGCAGAATTATCTTTATAAGCATATACTAACAAAACATTTTTCTACAAGCCTCAAGTCTCCAACTTAACGGTACCCTTTATGACACAGCATGACTTCTGAAATATCCTTTCATCTCCGCCAGACAGTTGGACGAGGAGTTTTTCAACCCTTTTAACTGTATTCTTCACACCTAAAGCTACATTTTCTTCACGGAAACTGAAGATTAGAAGTCTTTTTGCAAGTTGTCTGTTTGTAAAGGGGACTGGATACAGATTACTTTAGCTAATAATTAAAGTAGACTATGGAAAACTTATCCACTCAACCTAAAAAATATCAAGTAAACAATGTGTACACATTATGGAAATGTCTAAGGCTTTGTCCACTCTGGAATGAACACAGCACTGTTTTAATGTTTCAAACAAAGAACATGGAAAATGTTGTTTGTATGAATTTCATTTGAATAAAAAACACTTTTCCGGCTATTTAGTATGGCAGATTTTGTTATGACATTTCAGTGGAAGAGGGAACAATTGTAAGAATTCTAAGAATGATTGTAATTGTAACTGTGAAAGTTATAGCTCAAAATCCCCAGTAAACATAAACAGAGTCACAAACTGAATGATTTGTTATGGCTGTTAAAGTCTCCTGAGTCATCTCAAAATCTCACAGAAGTAGAAGCCTTTTATGGAAGCCTTTATTGTTTTTAAATCATCACATAATATTGCATTAGCTTTCATTTCAGACTTCTCAATAAGTTATTTGCAGTGACAGAAATATTTATTTGGGGCTTTTAAACTTTTACACATCCCCATATGCAATATTAGCCACATTTAAGTTACTTCACACATTTGTATAGAGGATAAATGGCCTTAATCTAAACTCTTTGAAAAAAGGGAAAGCCAAAGCTGAGGAGGTACAGGTCAAATTCAGAGATCGTAGACTGTAGTCCCTTCTTTTGGTCTTGTTAAATGATTGGACAAGCTTGTAGCTGTGAAACCTCCATCTTTGACAAGGAAAACTAATGTTTTCCTGAGCTGATCCTTGGGCACCCTTTTCATTTAAGGCTTTGCTTTGGCTTGACTTAAGCCAGGAGAAAGTTTATTTTGCTCCATAAATTGCTTGGCTCGAAAGAAAACCACCCAAGCAAAATCCTGGATGTATCCGGTGAAGAATTCCCCAAAAAACATAAGTGAGGGTGTTGCAGAGCGAAGTGGCACCACTGAAAGGAAGAAAAAGAAATATATGGAGAGAGATGTTTATTACAGAGTTGACTGATGGCACCTCTCTCCCCTGTGATTCTGACCTTCGTCATGTTACAGAATAACGCAAGGCAGCTCTGAACCCATTCACTTTCCCACATAAGTGTGATGCAGAGCCGCCCCTCACTAGATGTCATATACTGGTAATACCCTGGTGGGAATCCACAAGGATAAGGAAGCAAAATGTTCCAAATTCAGTTTCAGTTTCTCTAAGGTTATAGCCATGTCAAAATAGCCTCAAAACGTTATTAGAAGAAAAAAATACATGTTTAAAGATTTCCAGATGCTACAAGAAATTGTATTAGGCCACTAAACATATTCCATTATTGGAATATAAATGTTATTTAGTGCTCATGATTTCCTACACGAATTCTAGAGTAAGATGGGTGACTTCCAGACCACTACCAGCACAGGTCTCTCATTGTATGGCATGTGTGTATGGGAGTTTTATATTTCATGTACATCCATTCAGTGATCCAACCCTGTGCCCTTGCTCTTGTTTTTCTCCTGGTATCAGATGGCGCTCTGGCTGACCCCCGAGCCCTGCCCCTGTAGACGGTTGTCTTCCGTCCCACATTGGCCACATTCTCACCACATCACGCTGATTCAGAGGGGAAGACTGTGGTTGGGCAATTAACTGAGCCCCCGTGCTGTGCCAAGCAAAACTTCCTCTGCTGTTTTTACAGCAAAGTCCTTCAAATTATGGTTTTCATGCATGCATGGAGCAGAGCTCAGCCATCTGATGTTGCTTTGTCATTGTCACATGCCACTCAGCTTGAATGTGAAAAATGGACACAGAGTAGAGTATAGGACAAGTGGGATTAGTGCCAGTTATAGCAGACAGCCTTCCCATGCTGACAATACACCAAAACAATGCATGAAGGGAAGTTTTTCGTGGGTATGAAAAGCCATTCAACTCTTCTGCCTGTTGTGCTTTCCCCTCTATTTTCGTTTAGCAGATACTTTTTCTATTTTTTTAGAATCCCCATATATATATACAGTATGCATATATAGAATCTCACAGTCACACCCATGCTGTTATTATTACTCAGTCATTTTTTATAGTAGTTTATTGTCCCCATATAAATAATCAGAAAGCTGTGTAAATGAAATACATCAATAAGTGTCACATACTTACTGCATACTTTGGAGACCATTTAGGAGCTAAATGTCGGTAATGGACATTTGCCAGCTAATTTTCAAAATTAATGTTATCGTATTGTTGACATTTGGCCTTTGTTGGATGAGTAAATATGTCATTGATATGTGAGGCATACACCTCAAAGCTGAAATAGTTGTGTTTGAGATTAATTAAAAGCTAGATGAAAAATAAATCTTTTAAATTATTATTTTTTATTTGTATGGTTAACGACTGTTTTGATTAATGTAAAAATAATCTTAGAAATTCTTATTTCAAATTGTTGATGTGTCTAAGAAATAGTTCAGTCTCAAACTGTAATTATGTTGCACTGAGAAAACAAAACTCAAGCCAATATAAGGAACATCTACCCATTTTTTATTTATTTTCAACTGAATGACTGATCATTCAAATTTCAATTAATAGTTTAGGACTTACATTTCATTCCTTTTAAAATAAATTTTATGAAGGCTGATATTCCACCATGCAATGCTTGAAAACTGTGCCAGTCTTTGTGTGGCTTTGCACACGGAGAGGATAGACTTTGATTACATTACTTTTAGACAGACATCTTGAGATTTAAAGACCGCCAACTGGTGGACTGTGCATTTGCATGAGTAGCAAAAACCAGGTTTTCACAGCTGCGTATCAAGAGAAATAAAGTTAGCGTCTGTTTGCAAAGGAGGAACTGTAAACATCCATCATGACACATTTCGCTGCCCGATGCTAGAGTATATACTGTGAGGTCAGAGCACTGTTTGTCCACATTTATGTGTCCTCTGCAGTGCTCCCGCTCTAACCCCACCTAATCCTATGAACAAGTCACAGTGGTTTAGTCTATGTGTTTTATGGAGGTGTTTAACTCCACATATATTTCTTCCTCAGGTGAACAACAATGGTCTTGTGTCTTTCCTGAGGGAAGTGTCTCAGTTCACACCCGTAGCTTTTCCAATCGCCGGGGACAGAAGGGTTGTGGCACCATTTTGGGCTGATGTTGACAACCGTCGAGCCGGGACTGTGTTCTACAGAGAGAGCCTTGATACTTCAATCCTGACCAGGGCCTCCAGTGATGTCAGGACATATTTTACAGAGTTTCCCAACTTCAACGCAACATGGGTCCTCATCTCTACATGGCATCAAGTTACTTTCTTTGGGGGAAACTCCCAAACGCCGGTACAAACTAACATTTTACTGTTGTTCTACCGCTATGGTGGCTTCTCGCTGTGCAATGTATCTTTAACTCCTTCATCAATGACAGGCAGTGTTTTTTTCTTAGTGATACCACTAAATTGATTTTAAAACATTATATTCTTAAATTTTCAAACAAAGATTTTTATTTGAAGGGAAAATTAATATCCACACAGAAATGCTAATAACAATTGGTAAGTCACATGATACAGTAGACTGGCTGATCTTTGACCTCATGATGTTGCCAGAGAATCTGAAAGAGTTACCATAAACAATTCCAGCTATTCAAATTCATGGGATTTATCATAGGAGCAAAAAGTAGGCAAAATTTTAAATCATACACTTAAATAATAGAAAAACTTTATCCACTTCTAAATTACACTTTGCAATTTTAATATCTACTGAAATTACTTATATTTAAATATGGCAACCACTTGATATGGCAAATGAATTGCTCCTTCAGTAATTATGAAATCATAAAATACTAATTGAGCAATCTCACTAAAACCCAATTATTATAATTGATAGTTCTCAAAATAGTTAATATAATAAATTTAAAAAATCAGGGAAACAAGGTAATCATAGACATGTGGGTTGGCTGGATTAGTCAGTATTTACACAAATTATAAAAAATGTTGGTATTTTTTTATTTCTTACAGTAACATTTCTGACAGTCAAGAAACTTTCCTTTTTTTAAACTTATTTTTTAACATGTAAGCTCTTTTTAATTTAATGTATTATTTTCAAATAAATGTGTCTTTATATGCTTTAGTCTAACAAATAGTAGCATGGAGCTATGTTGCTGGCTTCATTTGACTGTGATGTCTGATCCAACAAAATCAAATATAATATAAGATATATATCTTGATTGAAACAAAATCCCCGACTAGAATGGAGCTGACGTCTTTCTGAGTTATAAAAGTAGAAATAACTTGAATAACTTGAAGCTATGGTTGATGTTTGGTTTAAAAGTAAGCCTAAGAAAAATCTAGCATTTTTCCAGCATGATTAAGTGTGTATTATAAATATGAAGAATATATTCACACCTACATAATGAAATGTATCACTAAAATTACTACAAATCAAAATGTGGTTTCACCAGGGTTGGTCTTCCTTTGCACAGGTCAACACTTTCCAAGTGGTGCTCATTACAGATGGAGAGCTTTCCTTCACCATATTCCAGTACAACAGCATCACTTGGACAACAGGCATGCATGCCAGCAGTGGCGGAAACATGACTGGGCTGGGAGGGATTGCAGCGCAGGTAAGACCATACTATCATGTTAGTCAGGACGTGCAGGAGGATTTGCTCCAATGTCACAATTGGTAACTTTAACTTCAGCCATCTTTTGTAACGTCTGCCTCTTCCCAGGCAGGGTTCAATGCTGGCGATGGCATGCGCTATTTCAACATCCCTGGCTCTCGCACCGCTGATGTAGTAAATGTGGAGGAGACGACCAACGTGGGCTACCCAGGCAGATGGGTCTTTCGTATAGATGACGCTCATGTGGAAGTGGGTGGCTGCAATAACTCTGGTGAGAGCTGTTCGTAACAGAGTTGCCTGCCAAATGCTCTCCGATTCCTTAATATTGGTGTTTCTGTGCTTCCTTTTACTCTGACATCTTTCTCCAGCATCAGTATGCCCTCATCTGCGCCCTTGCCTGAATGGAGGCCAGTGCATTGATGACTGCATTACAGGCAACCCCTCTTTCACTTGCTCCTGCTTGGCTGGCTTCACCGGCCGACGATGCCAGATTGGTGAGTTATGATTGACACCAGGCACTGTGGATCCTGTGCATGTTTGCTTGTCTACATACAATTAGCCAGGAAACATTTTGTCAACTTGTCAAGAAAATACTAGATTTCACAGGCGTGCTCTCCCTGTGTCTGCATGGATTCCCTCCTGATACTCTGGCTTCTTCTCACCATCCAAAAATATACATCCAGACACAGGGAGAACATGCAAACTCCACACAGTCCCCTAGGGATTCAAATTGGGAACCCTGTTGCTATGAGGTTACCACTGTGTCACCCCCAAAAATATACATGTTAGGTTAATGGAACACTTTAAATTCCTTCTTGGAGTTATATTGTGTATGTGTGGATTGGCCGCACACAGCTCTACCAGCAACAAGCGTTATATAGATTTGGATGGATACATTTCACCAGGCTTTCTAAAGGAACACCTGAGAATTTCCTTAATACCCATACAAGTTTCATGCCAATCTAATATGCTCTCCTTGGTCTTTGGCCCTATTAACAGACCAGTTATTTCCTTGTAATTAAAGATATACTGCCTCCTTTGTGTTTGTCCCTGTCACTGCAGATGTTGATGAATGTGCCTCAAATCCATGCCAGAACGAAGGGACTTGTAAAGATCAGATTAATAGTTTCACCTGTGAGTGTCGTCCTGGATACACTGGGATTCACTGTGAAACAGGTACAGTAGTGCACAGGCTTAAGATGTAATCTTCTTGCGATCACATTTTCATTTCCTCTTTTTCTCCTCCGAGAGGGCTCTTTGCGGCTTTAGCTTCATGGCGATGTTACCGAATATGATGGCAAAGTCAGGCTTGAAGTAAAAGCTGGAAATTTAAATGGAGGACATTTCTTTTAGTTTTTGTTGTGTAAACAGTGATAGTTTTGTTTTTGAAAAACGCAGTGGCACCTAAAGTAATTACTTCACCTTTAATTAAATTGAATTAAACTGTTAAAAAGCAGTGTCTAGGCCCTTGAAATACACAAATATGATATGATACAAAGAAATATGTTTACTTCAGACATTTTTGAAAAAATGGATGGAAGGATGGATTTTTTTTCAAATTCCTCATATTACTTACTCTGATTAATTAAAAAATATTGTCCTTGTTAAAAAACTTTTCACACACATGCACAACAGAAATCTTTTAAAACATTTTATTTCAGCCTCTCTAAAACCTCTGTGCCTATTCCCACAGTCCAGCCTGGGGAGATTTATCAAACCTCTTCTAATACCTTTCGCAGCCAGCAACACATACTTGCAGAGTGAGGGGAGCTGTGCGGCGGATATATTAATCAGCTGAGTAAATATTCCACGAGTGTGTGTGTCTCTCTCTCTGTGCGTGTGTTACAGACATTGATGAGTGTGAAGACAGGCCATGCCTTAACAACGCGTCGTGTGTACAAGGCACCGGCAGTTTCACCTGTGTGTGTGTGCCGGGTTACACTGGTGTCTTGTGTGAGACAGGTGAGCAAAGCTCACAATTCTCTCTCCTGAGGAAATATTTTCTACTGCTTTCTACATCAAAACTCCATTTTTTTGGCAGATGTGCCTGTCAGAAGAGTTTCCCAGTCTAGCTAGACAAATGGGTTATGCTTGAAGAGATTTGAAAATAACTTTTTTTTTTCTTCATTGGGTCCTGCAGTGTAGCAACGAACCGTAATAAGGAAAGTTACCTTAATTCAAGTCAGTATGCAAAAAAACAACAACTTTTTTTCTAAACGTAAGTCTCCCGTGATTGATCATTCATGAAATCAAATCCAGTGAGTTAGATATTCAGGCTCTAAACAGTATATAAATCCTTGCTCGTACATGAAACCAGATTAGTCTTAATTTCAGACACCTGGTCAGTGAAACTCAATCCTCTCATTGAGGAAGTTCAGTTCCCCTAATCCAGCTTAGTGTCTTGAACAATATAGTTGAGTTTTATCTCTGATTAATGAGTATTTGTTCTTTTTCCAGACATAAACGAATGCGAGTCCCAGCCCTGTCTGAATGGAGGAAAGTGCATCGATCTGGTGGCCAACTTCACCTGTGTGTGTCCTGCTTCCTTCACTGGCACGCTCTGTGAAAGAGGTGAAAAAAGAGATCTTGAGAGGCTTGTTTTTTTTTTTTAAAGTTGGCCCAGAAATAATTTCTTTTTTGTTTTAATACCTGTAACATAGCGGGCTCAAAGGGAGTTGCCCTGTTTTAAGATTTATCGTGAAACAAGTAGACGACTTTTGTTCGAGAGGTGTTCTGTTGCTTCATTTGCACATTATTCTGAGGTTTTCACAGATATTGACAATGCAAATAATGCGTTTATTTTTCTTTCACATACTCCTAGCCAAATAAGCATGCCTTCAGTAATAGATTTTGTGTAAAATTTTTAAATCTAACTATAGACACAAAGTCACAAAGTTTGCAGATGGAGGGAATTGTAGTTTATTGATTAATTTTCAAGAAAGTCTTAATTGAGCTTTTAAAGAACATTTTGTTGGTTTACTGTGACACTTTCTAAGCCACAGCATGATAATTGCATATATGCAAGCGTTTGCCTTACACCTTACACTTTCTCTATCTGTATCTTTGACCTTGATCTAGCCAGTACGATAGTTTTGAGATTTTGTCTCTAAAGAGTTGTTAAAATATGATCTGCCATGTCGTTACAATGAGGATCAAGCTTTAATCATAATTCAAAGAGATTGTTTTGCATATATTAGACAATTAACTCAATAATTTTTAAAGAAAGGCTTTCTTGATTTCTAGTATCTTTAAAACTGTATCTGGTGGCACTATATGTCAGGTAAAGCCAGGTTATTTTAAAAAATTCCATCCACCCATTATCGTAACTGATAATTCCGTAATGGGGTCGTGCGGGGACTGGAGCCTAACCCAGTAGTCAATGAGCGAGAGGCGGGGTACACCCTGGGCAGTACGCCAGTCTATCGCAGGGCCACACAGAGACACACAACATGTCTCATAATTATGTTTTATGCAGTGAACTAAACTGTAAAACATGTTGTTTTCCTATCACAGAGCTAGTCGAACCACAGATCAGTTTCCCACAGACTGACAATCAAACAGGTATAAACAGAAACAGCAACTAGTAATGCTTTACCATGGATCCCTTTATCTGTAGTCAGACATTGGTAAAAACACCAAAATAAAGAATGCACAAGCGTCGGAATCCTGATTTGTACATGCGCTCCTTACTTCAGAGGTGACAAGTGTGAAGGCTTTGTTTACTCAGCCTGACTGAAGCTTACTGCAGGAAGCTGGGCAGGTAGAGAGTAGACAGGGGTATTTGTAGAGGAGCTGTGCTATCCCACAGGAATTTGGAACTTTTCCCTGTGAGAGGCTACTGTGGTGATGGATTATTGTAATTATCAAAACTGACACGGCCCCACCCAGTTTACTACGGGAACCATCCGCTTGATCTTGTGAATAATTGTTTTACAGCAGATTTTATTAGTTTACCAACAAGAGGAAGTGCTTTGTCTAGACTTAAAAAGGTTTCTTTATGAGTAAAAGGTGCTCTTAGGAATTCAGGTCATTTCTTCAGAGAGAATTGTTAAGATATGCATGCCTCCACACCACTACTTGTCTGGAAGTCAGCCATGGCATCACACTGTAGTTTGAAGCACTGCTGCTACATGCATAGCAATTGCACAGAAAATATGCAAAAGACCTATGAAAACACCTGGCATTATATTTCAAATTTTTAATATTGAGTTTATTTTTAAGGAATAATATTAATGAGAGGTTACTGTCACCCACTGATGGCAGCTGCTGCAAGGGTTTTTCCTTCTTCACTAAAAGCTCTTTAATAGCATTCGAGCTGTTACAAATGCATGCTACTTCTCACCCTTGAGCTGAAATAACTATCAGTGCTTATATAGGCTCTCTTAAATCTCCCAAATACTTTCCTGCCTGGCTCACTTGGAAGGCACAGCGGAAAAAGGAGCATGATCCTCCAAGGAAGAGAAAGTAGTGGGACTCAGAAGTGCCTAATCAAGCTCTCGGATCAAAGGGCCTGGGCCGCACAGGTGGCCAATGAAAGTAGCTCTTGCAAATTAACAATCCATTAATTGCCCTCAGGGAAATGCCGTTTGGTCACAAAATATGCTCCATATCATCAGAAAAATAGTACCCTCCACCAAGCTCCTGAGACTTCAAAGGGAAGCCATTTAGCTGTGATACGGGCGCGTTCTTTGATCCACTGCTGCAATTAGCAAGGAGAGGAAAACAAAAACATTCTTACAATTTGTACAGAGCGGATGTACAGCATGCTGGGGGCTGATTTCTTGTCCCGTGAACTTTGTTGGGAAAGACAAATGGCAACACATCAACTTGTAGTTTACAGTACAGCAGATGAAAGCCGCTCAAAGTGCAATACCAATGTTGACTGCTTTTACCTTTGGTTTATATTTAATTTACACACTAAAAGCTTTACAGAATTTAACAGTATAAAACTTACCACTTTTACGCTTCTTTGTTTGTTTTTTGTCTTCAGCGGAATGTCTTTGCCAAAATGGAGGCGTCTGCGGAATCAATGGAAGCTGTGAATGCCCTTCGGGCTACACAGGAATCCACTGTCAGCTTGGTGTGTATGATATGTATAATCCTATCAGGTGTCTCATGTACGCTTTGCTGAAAGGGTCCCAGTGAGATCACGGATGTCTCAAAATAAGACACATTTGTCTGAGAACCTGCTTTTCACCATTCCTCTCACTCAGAAGTCACTCAGACACCGTGCAGTAACAACAGACCATGTCCGGATGGAAGTCCGTGTCTGGAGTATGGTGGAACCTATCTATGTACATGCCAGACTGGGATAGACTTCGATTACAAGGACTTTTACCCCTATGGTAAGAGTGTGAGGCGCCAACCTTGTAACTGGCAACTCCAGAAGCTATGTTTTACTCTCTGAACAGCTGGCCACTATAGCAGAAAAAATTTAAAGTACACACACACATTTTGAGTGTAAAATTCTATTTTAAATGGTATCATCACATTAGCAGGTTACATTAAGGATGTCAGGAGAAATACTGAAATCATTGAAATTGTTAGTATAGTTTCTGTCAGTTGTGTCAAGGCCTGAGCCTCTGTGCTTGAAGAAAACTTATTTTGTTTCCCAGTGAAATGGGACACAGTCAAGTCTCTGTATGTGTTCTTCAGTACAGCCCCCATCGGCCTGCGACTCTTCTCCCTGTCTGAATGGAGGATACTGCTACGAGGGAGACGGAGGCTATACCTGTGAATGCAGATATGGATACTGGGGGAAGCACTGTGAAAAAGGTAGAAGATTTGCATCTGGATTTGTGAATAAACATGATCAAGATCCTCATTTAATGTTTGCAGTAATTACTTCGACTCTATCACGACAGCAGCTACAATGCACCAGGAAACACATCATTACTCATAATGTTCCTTGATATGGCAATGCTGAAAGGCTTAAGATAATTTGCACTTTGAACTGAGTTATGGGCTGTTTCCCTCAAATATGACTTGAACTCCAATTGAGTGGAACAGATTTATTTGGTGTGATTAAAAACGAGGGTGCCCACTGCTTCAAGGACTCCTTTTCCACTGTCTTTTTCCAGTTAGACTCAATACCTGTGCCTCCAGCCCCTGCCGCAATGGAGGCTCCTGTAAGGAAGAGGGAGGGAGCTACAAATGTGTCTGTCCTTACCGGTTCACTGGAAAGCACTGCGAAGTGGGTGAGTGCCACTCCATGTAATATTTCAAATAATTTTGTGCACAGAATCCTAACTTTTTTCAGGTTTCTGTGAAAGAAATAAAAGACATGATAATTAACTATCACATCGTTTTTCAAAGTTGCTTTTCACATATCTACAAGTATTTGAGTATGTATATTCTAAGGTAATAATTCAAAAAAGGACTTGATCTTTTTGAAGATTCCTTACTGAAATGTATTGATTTCTATGTTTGTTTTTCTGTGTTTAGTTTGAATTTTGGTTCATGTGGTCTTAAGAAACTTATTTTATTATGCTGCAGATAAAATCATTGTTGTAGCATGTAGAAAGCAGCTAAGACTGACATTTTAATGTCAAAATTAGATTTTTCTAATCACAAAAAAGAAACTCATGATACTTGTGAGGTAGAGTGACTACTCGTTTACTTCATACTTTGATTCATTTTTATTTGACAACATTCACATGTTTATATGCTATAAACTAGTGCCAGCCAACATATGCAGCGGCATTTTTTTATTTTAACAATAATAATAACATAAACTGTGTGAATATAGCATTTTTCTAAACAAAAATTGAGAAGTCCTTCACATAGCTGGAGATAGAAAAAAACTTTAATCAAAACAACATGAGGACAGGTCAATATAGACTTCATCACTGACCATAAATGTTTTGCGGACGTGTTCTTTCAGGTAAGCCTGACCCTTGCACGTCCAGTCCTTGCCTGAATGGGGGGACATGTTTTCACTACATTGGAAAATATAAATGTGAATGCACCGAGGCCTACAGTGGCAGGCACTGTGAAATAAGCAGGAGCTCAGCGCCTATCCCTGCAGGTAAGCAGACCATATGTCACAACACAACAACATCTTGTTCATATTTATGCATTTAGCTGAAGCTTTTATCTAAAGATATTTACAATCCAGTCTCTCTCTCGGATATTGACATTTGCACAATGTTGACTCGAACAGATTGACAGAAGCAGGGGATTTCCTGAGCTGTTAAGCGCACAGACACTAGCTTTCCATCTGAAGATAATCTTAGCAGTGTTGCTGTGCTGGAGGCCCCACATATACAGATATAGATGGCTGTATAAGCTATGTAAAGTAAGACCTAATTAGACCCTATGATTCATGTCTGCACACTTTAACGGCACGCTGAAGGTAATTTTAGGAGAACAAATACAGTGTAATATTTGATGGAAAGCACCCCTGTTGCCATAATACTCTGTTTTGAATGAGCTCTTTGAACCCCCACTGTTTGTGAGCTGGTGATACTCTGCAGTCTTGCTTGCATTATCAAAGTGTTTGGAATTGTTTCAGAACTGGGCTGTGGTTCGCCCCCGCATGTCAAACACGCTGAGGTCCAGTTCTCCTCAACAACACCAGGCTCCGTGGCTGTGTATATATGCCATTCAGGCTTCACATCCGTGCCTAGAGCCACGCAGAGCATCTGTGGCATTCGGGGAGGCTGGAGCCAGCCTCCGGTTTGCGAGGGTGTGTAATACATGCATCCTAAAAAAACAAACCTTTAAAAAATAAAATACTAATCCAAATCTTTCAGGGAAATTTTTACTTACTGCCATATGTTTCTTTTGCTCACTTTTACAGAGATCAATGAGTGCTTATCACAGCCTTGTCTTAATGGTGGCTCTTGTCGAAATAAGATCGGATCCTATCAGTGCGTGTGCAGTGACGGCTTCAGCGGAAACCGTTGTCAGATAGGTAAAAGCATGAGCAACCTTTGATACTTACATCATCCCCCAAAATATATGATAGCTGACTGTGTCTATTTCCTCCCATTTAAGAAACAAATGAATGCCTGTCAGAGCCTTGCCTAAATGGAGGGACCTGTGAGAACCAAGCTGGCTCCTATTTGTGTCACTGTCAGCAAGGATTTAAAGGCCAGAACTGTGAAATAGGTGCGGTGTGTCTTTCAGCCTCTTGTATAACAAAGTGTGCACATTCTAACAAACATATGGAGGATGACAAATTTGACCAATGTGGAAATGTATGTGTGCAGAGCAGGATGGGTGTGAATCCAGCCCCTGTCTGAACGGAGGTGTTTGCCGGGGTTACAGAAAGAATTATTTGTGCATTTGTAAAGACGGTTTCTTTGGGGAGCAATGTCAGATGTGTAAGTGGATCAGCTTTTCCTCAGGAGACACAATATCCAAATGTGTGTGCTTTAACTATGTCAGTATCTCACTTTAACAAACAGTGATGAGTGTAATTGGATTTGTCTATTTTTTAAAGGAAAAATCACTTTGAACTTTAATTATTTCCCCCCATGTATCTCATTCAAAAATTTGCTCCATTTTATTTTACTCTCTTTGTCTGTAAACTAAAAGTTCAGCTCATGGATTCAAATGTAAATTGCAAACTCTTCCAACCACCTCTTTTTAATAAGGCAGTATTGATGGACTACTTTGACGTGAAAAAGATTGTTGTAATATCTCTTTCCATCTTTGTCACCCCCAAGTGGAAGACCCGTGTGTACTGAAGCCTTGTGGAAATCGTGGGCACTGTTGGAGTGACAGAAGAGGAAACTATAACTGTGTCTGCAAAGTGGGCCTCACCGGCAAAGACTGCGAGAAAGGTCAATTCAGTACTAGCTGTTATTCAATACAATTCTTTTGCAATGGAGACGCAGCTTTGCAATTATTGCAATTGTATTAATAAAAAAATGTACGGATTTTTGCTACTTTTACCAGACCTGTTGCCCCCGCATGGTCTCCATGTGCTGCGTGTAGAAGAGAGTGAAGTGGAGTTGCGCTGGGATGAGCCAGAGCCCTCGCATGGCCTTATCAGCATGTTTGCCGTTACCTACGCTCCCGTGGGCCAAAGTAATCCCAAAACAGACTACCTGGACAGGCAGCGATCTGCACATGTTATGCGAGACCTGATCCCCGGAACACTGTACAACATTTCCACCGTCTCCATCAAACTAAAAACCAACAGCAACGACACGAGTCAGCCTGCCACTGCACTCATCCGTACCAGTGAGGACATACTTACAAGCAATGCAGTTGTTGTTGGAAAGATTAAACTCCCGTAATGTGTTTTTATCTGTATATCTATGTGTGCATATGTAAGTGGTAGTGCTGGCTCACATTTGTTTGTCTCTGTTGTAGGACCCCGACGAGTGGAGCAACTGCATGTGGTTAATGTGTCTGCCACTCAGGTTTGGCTGAGGTGGCTGGTTCAGGCTGCTCGTCATGCTGCAGTTAGCAGGTTGCATGTGTCTTTACTGCCTTCAAATGGAAGCAGGGCTCAAACCGCAGTGCTCAACACAAGCACCACGGAATATACCTTCAGGTCAGTATATGAACAATGAGAGCCCGAAAATGCCACTTACACACGGCTGCAACTTCTTTTCTGTCCACTGTGTGATGCTGGTGTGTTTTGAAAAGGTTTCAAGTGATACGCGTTTTAATCAGCAGAGGGCACTTTTTCACCATAAATACCCAGCATTCAACAGTAATGTTTAAAGCATGAGTTGAGTCTGTGCTACTTCTTTTGTTTCCCAGTTCATTACAGCCCGGTCAAATGTACACAGTGGATGTTTTAACCCAAAGTGGAATTAGACCAGATGATTTTCCCTCCACCAGCCACTCAGCTGGACCACTGCAATTTTGGACACGTAGGTTCTATAAGTTAGGAGATACTCTAAAAATGTATTCAAGATAAAGCAATATGTTACGCTATACATATATATATTATTCCATCCTGAGTATCATATCAGCAGTTGCTTGTAAGAGCATCAACTTTATAACCTTAATGTTGATTAAAATTAAATGTATTTAAAATTAAACTCATATTCAGTGTCATACATCTTATAACATGTACATGTTAAGCTTTCCATTTTTTGGGACATCAACAACTTCAGCTAAAGGCAACTAAAAAAAAAATATGTATATGTCTCATATGTTTCTCTTTGTAAACATCTGACCATCTACTGTCTTACCCTCAGGTCCTCTTCCCCCACAGAACCTGTCACTGTCACATGTGACCCCACACTCAGCACTGGTCACCTGGAGTCGCCACCCCAGAAACATCCCAGATGGCTTTGTGATCAACGTGACCCGAGGGTTAAATACTAGGAGTCGCTTCCTCCCCAATGGGAAATTAGGATCATATACCCTCCGTGAACTGACTCCAGGCCAGCACTACAATGTGGCTCTCACATCTGTCAAAAACATAGGGCAGGAACACATCCATAGCAAACCCCTGCGCATAGCATTCACCACAAGTAGGTGTCTGTCATGGGAATCTTCTCTAACCTACATGACAAGAATTTATGCCATAGATGGGATTTTTGTATAAAAGAAAAATCTGATGCTCAGTTTGAATAACTTTTTTATCTGAAATTTCTTTGACTCAGTGCCAACACAGGCCAGACCAGGGAGGAGAGACAGACCAACAGTGACAGGACAGGGGGCTCAGCGAGGACGCATTCTGCCTTCATCTCAGCCTCAAGACATGGGAGGCACAACAGAAATGGAAAACTCAGACGAATCGCTCTTAAGGTACTTAAAGGAGTTTGATGATTACTAAAACCACATTAAAACAGCACCTCCACTGTGAGAGCTTGATAGTTGGTATTTGTTTCTGTACCACAGATACACAGAACTGGTTGACCGAAGGGGACAGATAACAGCCAAGTTCTCTCACTTGTCTCGGAAAGCTATTCGACATCGTACTAGTAAGTATAAACAAAAATGTAATGAAGACTTACTGGTGATCCTGCAGAAGAAAGTTGCTTCAATGCCACAGTAGATCAGATTATTCAAAAGAGAATGGAATATGTCTTAAAGCTGCATATGGGTATGCTATTTACTTAGTATGTACTGAAAATTATTAATCTTATATGCTCATTTTAATAAAGAGGAGCAATTAGTCTACAGCCTTTTAATCTTTCACTTCAAATTTCCTATAAAATCTAATGGGACTCTTCGGATTGCCATATTGGATCTGCCACATGTTTAAAAAAGTCAGACAACATTGACTGATAACATTTGAAAATATATTTAGTCAATTTTTCAATAAACAAGTTATTCAGGCTGATGGGCTCAACTGTGTTTTACAGAAGTTAACTTGTGCCTTTGAGAATAGGCTTCCCCGCTATTATTGTGCTGCCACTTTCACTGATGTGTCCAACTTTATGTCACAGTATCATTTTGGGCAAAGGAATGTACACAGTTGTCAACATTTAACCTCCACTGGCGTCTTCATCCATTCCCGATGTTCTCTTTTTTTAACTGATTTGAGACAGGAAATGTTTTTCCCTTGCAGAACCTGATCCCCCAATCAGATTAGAGAAGATGGAAGAAACAACAAACAAAATAAGTCTTGCACTGGAGATTCAAGAAGAAGGTCAGCGAATAAAGCCGGGTATGTCTTCTCATGTTTTTTTTCTGTTTTTTTTGTGTTGTTTTATTTTTTTCAAATAAGTTGTACATCTACCCATGTAAGTGATCCCATCTGATGTGCCTCTTTTATGCATGAGTTATGTTCTGGTGTGTGGGGTTATAGCTAGAGGCTATCAACACCTAGTATCAGCTGTGGAAGGGATTGGAAGAGTGAGACAGGAACTTGAGACTCCTACTTTTTCTGTGCAGAGGATTTTAATGGCAGCTGCTGTGTTTTAGAGCTATCCCAGGACTGCCGCGGACTGCTCTGCCAGAATGGAGGTACATGTACGAACGAAGGAGACTCCTTCATCTGCAGTTGCGCAGCAGGATTCAAAGGCAGACGGTGTGAACTGTGTAAGTTAAAGTTTTTTTCCAATCATGCTTTATTTCGCATACATAGGATTAATTCAACGTAGGTTTGGAACATGTCAAATTCATCAGAATGTTTCTCCGTTTGATGTTGTGATATCAAAAATCATTTCTAATGTATATTATGTGAATTCTTTCAATGTATTTATTATTGTCCAAAGGACCCGAGGCTAGAAGTAGAAAATGAGAACAAAATCCATGCATACATTTTCTCTCCCTTTAAGTTGACTACTGAAAATACCACTTGGGGACCTCAGAGATGCAATTCCTTCGCTCTGAACTCAGAGATTAAAAGATTTTTGTTCCTCATGTACTAGGTTTTGTTCTCTTAGGATTACACGTCACTGACCACCAAATAAGCCGCGTCTCCCCTTTTTCTATACTTTGATGTGTTTATTTGATTCCATATTACACAACTTGGATGGCTGTCTAGCTTTTTCAACATCAATCTGTTGCAAAAATAATTTATGCAACATGGTTATGGTTATCAGATGAGATTTCTTTGTACCTCACACCAACATCTAGTCAACTGTTGATGATGATTTTGATAGTTTAGATATTTAAAGGCTATTATATTGTTAACATTTTAAAAAAGAATGGCATATTTATCTTTGTTTTTTGATGAATGGGCCAATGTAAGTAATGGTGGAAATGATCAAAGAAATTTATTGCATTCAAAAAATGTTTCATTTGATTGCTATATGGGTCTCTGACAGCATTCAAATGTTTTTTCTTCACAGTCCGATTTGACAGTTGGATGTCTTTTTCGAAATTTGTATCTGACTTTTTTCTCCGTTTTCTTGATCGGTCTGTCAAATCAGTACCCATCCATGTTAATCAGGAAAGTAGTGTCTTTGCAACCACAAAAGCTTGTAAGTCTTGGAACCTTGCATACAACCTTTGGCTACAACAGCTTGGATGTTTTGTAGTTAGCTTCAAAATCAGGCAAAATCAGTTCATCTCTTGCACGTTGATGCATAAGATTAACTTTGACTTATTAGTTCACTGATGTGCAAAACTAGGTAATCTTTACAGAGTTCTGTCCCAGTTGAGCTTTTCTTCAAAGGAAGCTCAAATTTCCACTGAGCTCCTCAGTTGTGCATGTCAGAGCATTTTTGTCCAATGGATTATAAATACCTTTTGAAAGTATAATAAGATCAGCACAAACTCATCACCCTCCTTTTCTTCCATTTGTCTGCGATTTAGTGCTACCTTTCTGACATTGTTTCTTTTGAGGAAGGACTCTTTGAAAGGCAGCGTTATTCATTTGCACATAATAGCCAATATTACTTTGATATGAATCCTTCTAAACACAAAGGAGCATCATGGTACACATTAATTGCCTGTTGACAGAGGCTGGATTAACGAATTTAAGTAGCTAGTAGTAGCTACTTTTGGCTTTGAAGTGTATATGCAACACAACAGGGGTGTAGATAGAAGCATCCATGTTGCCAAGATGAAATATCCTTTTTGCCACTATAACTGAATTCTCAAGAATGAAAAGCAGTAGGAAGGTTGTATCGGTATCTGTGTCTGTCTGAAACTTTTTTGACATTGATGAACATTAGAATGTGTCCATAAACATATTCTAATTCCACATAAAACATTTTTTCCCACCTGTCAACCTTAAACGATAAAAGCTTTGTTCAACTAAACTTTTTGGAAATTTTGGATAGCTGTGAATCATCATATACAAACTGTCAGATATGTCATTTATTTTAACCATAACTTTCAGAAGTTTCAAAGATTTTATATTTTTGTTGTTGCATCTTTTTAACAGTAGTTTAAAATTTCACAAGCATAATCTTTAAAATGGAAACTACAACACATTCAATATTAATTAGGAGAAGAAATACACAGTTGTTATTTGCCCAATATGTCTGAACAGAACTCCTGATCAACAGTGATAAAGTATCAAGTTCTTTGTATAAATCATTTGCTTAAATTTTCTGGTTTGAATTGTTAGATGGTAAAAATATGCTTCGCTCTAACTGCCTTGTAAATAGCTGTTTGTTTGGCTTTATAGTGAGAATGTGTCACTGGTTCATCGTACTCTGACAGTTGTTGAAAGCAGGTAAAGAGACAATTAAGTCAAACTGTGGTTGCAGCTCAACTTGGCCAGTTGACTGGACCAGTGTGTTCGACCCAGTATAGACACACAATAGGGTATAATAAATCCTGCTTCAGACCCAGACATTTCCAACTAAATGGAAAAAGCATTGAAGAAATTGCGCCACTACTAACTAAAGCAGTAAGAGCATATTGTAAATGTAAGTACAGAACAATACAAAGTGTCTTTAAGTTACTTGATTGGGGATCTTTTTTAGATGAGCTGCGCTTGTAAAATCAGGATTTTATCATTAGACAAATTACAAGTGATTTAGAAAACTGCACAAAGTCTTAATGGGCTACCACAAGACTTGGAAACTTCATTAGATATTATTTTAATAGAAAGCATAGCTTGGTTGGTTTATAGAAATATGGGGAAACAACTCATTATTATGCACATAAATAGTTTCAGAGTTAATGATGAACAACACAAAAAAAAGAAGTTGTGACCTAAAATTATGTAAAGATGTAAGACAACACAGATGCTGATGAGAAATCATGCTAGCAGAGGAATATCTATCTTAATCCCTTCCTTAACCCCGATCCCTCCAGAGTGGAAATTTGACTTAGGCTTTTCTTTGGAGAGCGTGTTAACGACAGAAACTCTGGACATAACCTCACTCCCCTTGAATCTTTCCTCACCCAAACATTCAATTTTAGATTGTTTAAACATTCCTCTCCTAAAACCATCCGTCATCCAGAGAGAAGGGCCTAGCTCCAACCCACATTACTCCTAAAACATCCAGCAGCCTTTTCTTTGCTCGCATTACTTACAACGTTCATTCCCCATTGGTGTGTGAATGCTGTTTTGCAGCATGCCAGCGGGTGTCACATCCATGCACACGAATCTACTCGGAAACCAAGAGTGTCCCTGTGTGGGAGGGTGGAGTGTGCCACTACCTGTGAGTCCTATCATTCCATTCCACTCTTTCACGTTCATGCTAATTGTGCCATGCTAAATGTGTAAATAATTATGTTTTCTTGTGTGCAGGTTCAAAAGGACATATAAAATACAGCAGGATGTGTGTTATCAAGAGATTTGCGAACCAACACTTTCCAAGAAAAGTCAGGGTAAGTCCAACAATCTATCTCAATCTCAGTCAAATTGAGAAAGATATTTTCAGCTATTAATCCAATTCAGTTCTTTTTACACACTGATGTCATCTGTCTTAACAGTCAGAAGAACAAACAAACAACAGTAAAGGTTGGTTTCGTTGATTACATTTAACCAAGTCATTATTATTGTTGTGAAAACATTGATTTGTCTGTGGAAAATCACATGGTTTTCAACAAGTTGGGCTTACAGTGCGGTTTCTGTGATTGTTTTTTTCTAGAGCATCTGGATGCTGATGAAAAGGCTGTCCTCAGAGTCATGTGAAAAACCTCCTAACTTCAATTTTGGTGTATATAATCTACTTGGAGTATCCGATTATGCTCATTTTCGTACTGAAAAGACCCTGACAGAACCCACTGTAGCATTTCAGAAACAAATCGTCATCTGTGAAGACAAGGCTGCATCTGTATGCTTTGTCCTCAGAGTTGTATTCATAGCTCTGTGCTTCACAAAAGGAGTCACATGAAAAATGACCTGCATCTTTTTTCTAATGTTTGCTGCCTGACTTTTTCCATCCAAACATACACAAATATTAACAGCAGGCAGCATAAATGACCTTAAATACCTCATTTACATGTCCATGCAGACACATAAAGAGGGTTTTATTTGTGGTTTGACAGCAGGTTTGTCCCTCAGGGAAATAGCTGTAAAATGTTCAGAATGCTAATCTTTGTGTTATATAAGAAAAATATATATGATATGATCTCCTTAAGAGGTCAATGGCAAGTACATTTTCCACCACAACCTGGAGATTGATCTCCACATCTGACAACGATGCAGTGTTTTATCTGTAAAATATTTTACTCTGTGTTTTAGCAAGCATCACTGCTCGCTATTGTGTATATAGTGTTCATAGGTCATTTTGTAGGTGAATATTTTAATAATAAAAGTGTTAAAATATTGTTTCTCAGTGTTCTGTAAAATTTTTCACACCTAACCAATAGATACATTACCAGTTCTTTGCGGGGTATGGCTAAATCTGTTTTACAAAAACAGACTTTCAAGGTCTGTGGTGACCATTAAAGGCTCTGAAGGTAAGCTGTATAAACATAAAGTCATTATGGATTCTAAAAAGAAACTGGTGCAAGAAAGAAACCACAGGGACAATGTTTAATAACCTTTTTGATTTAAGAGCATTGCAGCAGCATATTAAATTACCTGGAGATAACAGATCATCCCTGACTCAACATCATCAATTATAGCCATTTAGGTAAAAACTAACTAATTGTCTTAGTTAGTTTAGTTAGATAAAGAGACTAAAGAAAATGTTTAATTTGAACATAAAAATGAAATTGATAAGTAAATATTAGATATTAGATTTGCCGCCTGGATTATATTATTTGAAAGACTTCGGTGATTAAAACTAACTGGGGTGAAAGAATAGGAAACAGACGGAACAACCTCGGCCTTACGACATTTGAATTTAAGTCAATTTTGTGTTGTCCAAGATTAACATTAGAAAACATGCTAATATAATGCATGAGTTTGAGCATCGGATTGAACAATCTGGCCAAAACTCCAAGTTTAGATACAGAGCAGTGATTTAGTCTTCAATAAATCAACCACTTAACCAGTCATCTGAGCTCTTGAAGTGTTTGACTTATTCAGAGAGACAGAAAAGGTTCTACCGAAAACATAAAATAACCAAAGAAGCCAGTCCTAATTTCCAACCTAGACACTTTCAGATGCCATTATCAAAAAGCTCGAAAGTTTCTGTTGTTGGTTAAGAGGAGACTGGACCCAAAATCAAACACAGGACTGCAGGATTTAGAATTACAATGGATTTTTTTATTTAGAGGGAGAATGGAGGCACCAACAGACAACAAAAACATGAAGCTGGTAGGAAAGCAAGTGTCAATCATGCATCCAAGAGATGCAATGATCTGGTGTCGGAGTCCAGTAGAGTGCAGGCATACATGGGCTGCAGATGTGATGCCGTGCAGACTTTTACACTGACCCAACCAGCCCGAAACAAACACACCAACCAGAACCCACAGTTTCTTTGATTTAAAATAACTCAAATGGAGTGATCTTCACTGTCTGCACAAAGCTGTTCGTATCAGATTACATTCACAAGACTTTATAATCTGGCTCTAAACCCAGGCCAGAAGATATCAACGGCGGAGATTGGTCTGTTGTAAATTCAAGATAAGGCATCCACATAAGCTCTCTTTGGAAATGGATGAACAATGACATGTTCAAAAATGTCTGGAAAAGAACCAAGAGCTAGATACGCGTAAAAAAGCTGTGAAGATAACAAAGCCAACGATCGGGGGAAATACTTCTTAAAAAGACCAAGTGGGAACTATAATGCTGGCCAAAGATGTTATAGGAGAGATTATTGACTTTATTTCAAGATTATAGTGGACAGCGTGTCTTAAGAGACCGTGTGTGTTTAATTTACAATGAAATATCATTAAACATATTGTAGAGACCATGATCTTGAAGATAAAGAATTTGATCCTAGTTAAGCATGATGAGACGGGCATGACTAAATTGTACATTCATTTTCATAAATCATCAACTATTCTTCTTGTGTATGAAAGAATGACTTTCATATAGGTGTAAAAAAAACAAATGGTGGATAATCAATCACACTAATTAAACACTGTTTGATACATTTCAATCTTTAATACACCAAACCACATGCAATTTTTTAAAGCTATTCTACAATTTTCAAGTGTCTATGATTTTTCCATTTGGATTTTCTTTGGTGAGATAAGCAATATCAGTATGCTTGATACTTTATATCCCCCCGGAATACATGTGTTTAATTTAGTGTGTGGCGTTTCAGTCAGCAACGTATTTTAATATATGTGGTATTGAATTGTGGAATCATTTGCTACCTTATTAGATAGCACCTAGCAAAGGTTTTGAGAAGTATTGAAAGGCAAAAATGTGCTGCTGAGGATAAATATTCGTGATAGCAGATTCTGTGCATGTTGTTATCCAAAGACAGTGTGGATATTCCTCGGCGCTTTAGGGATGTGACATAAGGTATTGGAAATACTTCCGACAGGACCTAAAGGCACCATTTCACTTCTATAGTAGGAGCAGCCCCCCCCCCCCCCCCCCCTCCTCCCCGACCAACTGAAAACTGAGATAGTGAGGAATAAGCGACGAGAGGGCAGACCATGGAGGGAGAAAGCCTTATGTATTAGCTACTCTGCTGCTTTGGGACACTTTTCCTACTTTCGTTTCTTCCAGCACAAATCAGCGTGTCTCAATGCGACGTTATCCGACGTGTATTTTATCGGTCAGGAAAAACGTCGTAAATCTCCCGAGCGTTCTAAACAGTGGAACAGCAGTCAAACAGTTAGCACAACTAAACTAAAGTTAGCCTGGTCCGGCTAACTTAGCCTGTTTCGGCTAGCGATAAAGAACAAAAAAAAAAACGACTTGTGGAAAAAGAGAGTTGCGGCTGAAAAAAGTGACGCTGCGGCGTAAAGTAACTAGTAATGTCGCCTCCCGGGATTAACTTCACATACGGATGAGAAGATAATTGGCGGCGGGTGAACAGTGAGTACAACGGCGAGCCAGACGACCGCTGCTATGTTGGGGTTGACTCACGGCTCTGGCAGCCCGTCTGAGTCCCGAGGTTGGCCACACTCGGTGCTCTGGAGGCTCGGAGGCTTCTTCTTCCTCTTGCTGCTGGAAGGCGCCGGCTGCCTCGCCAACCCGAGCAGCCCCTCGGGGGTCAACAACAACAACAACAACAACCACCCCAGTGTCAACATATACATGAGTGTGGAGGAGGTGAAGAAGCTTTTGGGTAAGAAAGGCCTAGAAAACAGCCAGCTGTCGCCCAGCGTTGTGTCTTATTATCTGTAATACAGATGTGCTGGTGTGTCCGTCATGTGTATTTATACACTTCTTTCAGTGAGTTCTCTTGTGAGGTTTTATTTAACAGCCACTTTTCAACATGCATTAATTGCAATCTCAATACTGCATGACCTGAGTGAACATTAATAAGAGGCAAAAATGTATTTAACTAAATGCATCGTTTTAAGAAAAAGCGTGTGGTTTTCCATATTGCATTTTGATTAGGAGAAAAGTCACTCGTTGTTTAAGCTGCTAATTTGCTAGAAAACACTCCATATACCTCTTCACGTTATTGAAATTCTTTTAAGTTGTTTACCTCTATGAGCTGTATAGGTGTATCATGTTGGTGTAGCTCATTCTTGGCCCCACAGCAGATGACGTTCATTACTCATTTGAACAAGAAAGTGGAGTAAATAGCCCCAAGGCTGTGTCTGCCTTTGATTACATTTGCAAATACACTCTGGTGTGGGAATGGGAATTAGTGGGTATTTTATGAACTGAGTTGCAGGGTGGTAAGTTTGGTTTATGTGCGATAGCACTACTGTTCAACAGTATTTAGCAGGTTCAAAGGAGGTATAATGTGTGAATTGTGTGTGTTTTGGGCAGGGGTATTATAAAATATGCAATCGCATTGGCCAAACTTCTTGTAATACACAGACATGGATGGAAAAGCATAGCAGACTTAAAGAAAAAGTTTGAAGTTTAATTTTCTTTTTTCTTTGTCATGGAGCTGTTTTTGCTGGACTTATGTATTTGTGAACATGATTGTATTTCTTATTTTGCTATAGTTATTGGTTTAAGTTTTTGATTTAGGGTGATGAGGTGTGTTGAATGTGCCTTTTGAAACTGATTATTCACCATGCAAGGGTAGCCATAGATCCTAATGAGAGGGTAGAATGGGTTGAGTTTTATGTTTTTTGGTGAGCTGGAATTCATGTCATATTACAGCTCTTCCTGGTAGATTGTGTCCTTATAGTCGTAAAGGAATTTGTCATCTTGTCACTGGATCAGCATTTTTTTCCTTTCCATTCAATGACAATCAGTAGGAGTTGGCAAACTGTACTTTTTCCTTTTGTTGATGAATCTGGAAAGAATTGCCAGATGTGTCCGCAGGACACTGCATTTACTGACCTTATTGGGAAATAAAATGCAAAGTTACTCAGAGCTGTGAGTTGTATTGATCCCTGAACTCATGTTTTATGTAGTGGAACACCATTTACAACTTTAAGATAATTTTGTCTGCTTGCTCTTAGGCAAAAGCTTGAAAGTATCAAGCACTATCCTGTCTTAGAAAGAGGTCAACTCTCCTTCGGGCCGTACTCTGGCCTTAAGAGTATAGGCTCAGTTTGTCCCTTTTTGTTCCTTGTGTCCTCCATCATGCAATAGTTGATATTCTGCTTCCAGACTAGGGCCTCTCTTGCGGCTGCCTGAAGCCTCATCTGAATGTACAGAGAAATCACTTACTGTTTGACAACCTAATGTGTGGCGTGCAAAGTATTTGTGGACAGAAACTTCCATGATGCAGTGGCAACTGAAGGAATTAAAATTGGCGGAGAGAGTGGAAACTGGCATCGGTGTCGTGCTGTCGACAGACCGCTGTCGAGTCTAGAGTCGCTAAGTTTAAAAAAATGTTTTGCAAGATCAACAAGGTCAAGACCAGGTTTTTGTAATAACAGTATTTAAACCATTGATTCATCATGAAATCAAAAGACAATGAGGTTCTGTTTATTTATGTATATTCTTATTCTTAATGTTTAAGAAGTCACTCTTGTTTGTGTTAAAACAATGTTTTAATATTGTTTATATGCATTGATTGCAGTCTGCGCTCCCAAATTATTATAAAAAGACAACCAACCACATAGATTCTTACATCACAGAATCAGCATGCCCAGTGAAGTGATTTTCTGCTTTGAAGACATTATTGTTTCGCATTACTGAGTTTAAAGCAGGTGTAAATAATTGAATTAAAGATGGCTGCATTCCATTTAATTGGCTGAGTTTCAAGGCCCTAATACTGCCGCTGTGCGTGCTTGCTCACTATCACGCTGTCATTACTCAGTGGGACACTTTTGTATCAGGGTATATTTACCTTGCAGTATGTGACAAACTTTCCCTAGAAGTTTAAACAGATTATAATTGACTTTGAAAGAAAGTATAGCCATAATGATATGAGTTTAGATGTCTCCATTGTTGTTCCTGAGAGGAATTTACGTGCCATTCTGATAATTGTATGGTGCAGAAGTATATGTATGTTTACATAAAGTGCAATCAAAATCGTATGAAATGAAACTCTTCAAGGCCAGAATGCCACACCCAGATAATATGTCTGGGAGTCAAATTACTCCTCCATGTATACACTCAACTAAACTCTGTGGCTTCGGTTCTATGCATGTTCTCCACAGTTCCCATCAAGTAACGTTGATACTAACCAAAAATGTTTTGAGTGAATTTTACAAAAAATCCACTTTTCCTTTGTGTCGTCTCAGACAGCCAAGCACATCAAAAAAGTTTAGGTTAAAGAGGTGTCAACTTGCTCTCGCTTCCAGCATTTCCACCCACTTTCCGCCGCTAGTGTGGCTATCAGTCAGTCAACTTCTCTCTTATGCAGTGTAGGTATACAGAGACAAGCACAATACTCCAGTTGAATGACCAGCTCTACTTGATGTGGTTCAACTCAACTATGAATTTAGCTGGCTGTTGGAAATGACAGAAATCTGCTGCTGATCCTCAGTTCTGACAGTAATCTCTTTTTCTGGATGGAAATGGTGAAACACCATTGCACATTTAATGTTGCATTTATGCTGCAATCATAGAAAGAAGACATGTTATATCTCCCAATTTTTTTCCAGTACCAGAAAATGGAGCATTGGCATCTGAATCTTTTCATATTCCTGCCTTTAAAACGTTAAACCTTGGGCGCTGTTTAAGACGGGCATTCTTCACCCATCGCTTATGCCACAATGATAAAAAAAAAAAGAAAAAAAAAAGTTTTGTGACACTCACTTCCACACCTTCTTGTCATTTTAAATTTCACAGCACAGTGAAAGTTGAGGCATTGTGGCAGGATGGGATAACATCTCTATTTGATGTCCTCCTCTTTAATTTTTCTGCTTTTAAAACCCTTGGACTGTTACTGTGGATTGTTTAAATCTTAATAACTTTACCAAACTGCCCGACTCTCAGCGGGCTTTGAGAAAAACATAACGCTGAGCGGAAACAGGCTTTTGCATACACTGTGTGCTAGACCGTGGATGACAGGCAGGCAGCATCCCTAATTGCTTTTACACATGACTAATGGGTAGGGAACTGTCTGCCTCTAGTATCCACACACATTCCTAGCCTCAGCTCCCATATCAACCCCGTCTCAAGACCCACGTCTCCAGTTAGAATTCTGTTGCAGCTGTTCAGCACAAATTCAATTAGAGAAGCTGTTTTCGACCCTAAAGATCAGTTCAGAAGTTACATCATGTTGAAGTTGAGCAAGGGTCGGATCCAGTAATTAAACAGCGGATTTTATGGGGTTTTAGAAGAAAAGAAAAAATAGGAGGGATCTTGAATCTTTCAGAGAACTTTCTTTGTGATGTTTTCAAGCAGTTATAATCCAGTCATCGAGAGACTGAAACCCATTTGTTTGTCGTATCTTTTCAAAATAACCCATTACTGTTTACAGGCTTGCCTAAGAGATTATTCTTTACCCTGTTCTTTACACCAGACAAGTCTCAGATTACTTCTTGATCGCCTTTTACCCAGGCTAAAAAAACATTTATTTTATGTCGTTACTTCCAACAGAAACATATCTTACAGTGTCACAATTTTTGCCCGCTTGTCCAAAAAATGTTCAACACAAGAAGCAAAAAACAAAACAAAAAGAATAAGAGTAAGTATAGCCAACCATATATTCCAAAGATCTTAGACCAAGTTGGCGAATGAGCGCCCATCCCCTCCTCCAAAGAGCTGAAAGGCAAAGCCGAGGCTTTGAAAAAAGCCTTTGAAAAACTCTGTGAACTGTGAGGAGTGATTGGCAGCAGCATTCATTTCCTTCATGCCACTTCTCCCAGGACCCTGCAGCTGAATATGGAAGCCCCTGCTTTCACATCTTTTGTTTAAAATCTGCCTCACTCGCAGGAGGTTCTGTAAACCATTAGTCCATTCTATGAGTTTCTTCCCTTCTGCTTAAAATCGGAAACACCCTGTTGTGGTCGTCATGTTCACTGATTTTACTCCCAATTGTAGTTGCAGAGTTTGAAATCCGATGTTCCGAAGCTGCCCATGTGCAACAGCGTTTTAAAAAATAGCCTAGTGTGATGGTGTTTGTGAGGCTGATTAAACAACCCTGTAATCATCCGAAGATGGAAAAATTCTGACAACAGTTAACCATTTTCTCAGTTAACCATTTGATATTTTTTGAGTAAACCCAGGAGCTCCTTTTAGCAAATAACCTTGAGCACTTTTCCTTTAATGGGATGGCAGCAGACAGTCCTGCTCAGATCCCTTTTTTATGTCCTTGTCTGCCTTTGGGGCACTTGGAGGAATGAAAGAAAGAAACTAATGCATGGTCTCTTTGAACTTTGTTAAAGAAAACCGCAGAGATTGTGACTTAATATGTGTTTTTTCTTGTAGCTGCAAGTCTCTTTGACATGAGACTATTTTTTGCATCCAGTGGTGATAGCATTATTCTTTGGTTGAGTTGTTTCGTTGAGTTGGGAATTTTGCATAGCTATTTAGCATTCCTTTTATTTACAAGTTTCATATGCTAATAGCAATTAAAATGCGTGAGGTTTCTTATTTTCACTTGGCGTAGACAGTCTCCAATTTCTATGTTCACAATGGTCATGGATGCTCATTTGGATGCTCATTTGGATGCTCATTGTTTAGTTCTTTGTTCAGTGTGGACCTGAGAATATGAGCTCCCTCAAAATGAGAGGAAAAATTACCCCTATATGGAAGATTTTTAGAAAGGACATGAATGAACAAAAATAAACGTAGTGAATATACATAGTTGTGTTCTCTGCAACTATCTTGATTTATGTTCCTCCACTTGCAACAATTCTTTGAAGTGAGAGATGATATCTTTGTAACGGGTCATCAGAATCCTGACCCTTAACCTCTTGACGTTCTGACGTCCTGCCGGGCAGACGTTACTTGTTTCACTATTTTCTTTATTCCACCTTTCTCTGTACCTACACATTTTCATAAGATTAAAGTTATGTGCACTATTTTAACTTGCAATCATAACTACAAATAACGCACTCTTTCAAATTTTGAACTTTTTTTATACTCTATCTTAAGAAACCGCTGTAGAAAGATTTACGTTATTCTGTTTGGTAATCAATAAATAAATGTAAGATAATTATATTGGTGTGTATTTAACAGTTTTCTTTAGTGAAGATATTCCAGGCATGTGTGAGGAGGATAGATTTCCGCCTGTCTTCCTGACTTGATTAAACCAGTTGCAGCAACACCAACGTTCACTTTTCACTGTATCTTGTGCCTATTTGCCATATTTTAACACAGATTCACTTAAAGCGCATTGTTTCTTTTTCTTTTCCCAAATCACATTCTTAAAATCAAGTCTCTTCTCTACCTGCTCGATCCGAGACTGTAACCTTTGGCCTCCTGCTTTATGTGCTCATAGGTTTTTTAGTAGTTTCCAGTTGATAACATTTCTCACATGCCCTCGTTTTGTCCCTTCTAGATTAATGTGTCCAGTTTCTTGCTAAAGAATGGCGGACTCGTCTGAGTACTCGGGGATGCAGGCAATGGGAGCTAGAGTGTCGAGGGTGCTCACAAGAGGGGCTTTGTTTTATTTGTCCTGGACCATGCCACCTGGCTACTACTGCCTTTTGTTCTCCTCTTTCAAAGCTCACGGTGTGAGCCAAAGCACGTTAACTAGAATAGGTTGTAGTTCCCTCGAATATTGCATGTTTTATTCCATGAGTAATCCTGTCTCCCCTCCCATGCAGGAAATAGATGTCAGCTTGCCCTTAAGCTAGGAGCTCCCACTCCTGTGAATTTTCTCATTCTCTGATAAGAGAGTCGATTATAAATTATAATAGTACTGTGAGAATGTCAAAAGTGATGTTGAGATCACAACCAGTTTTTCTGTGCAATAATAGTTTAACCAGTGGTGTTGTTTATGTGAAAACTGAGTGTTGTTAATGTGATTTGGATTATTGCACTATATATGAGAACCACAGGTGTAAAAACCTATTTAAAGTAGAAATCAAAGATTTTGTGGTGGTACCTGATTTTTGAAAATGTGATAAATAGGGTCATTTGGTCAGATTCCTATTCCCTATTATTTCTCTTCAGGGAAGAAAGGGTCTTGGCTCTTATGGGTTAAAGGTGCTGATAGGGAAACAGGGAGTCACATTTCCTCTGGTGATTTTTCAGGTACTGCGATGAAAGAGTTCAGTGCTCTAATTTCACTGAAGTGTATCGTACTCGGACCACATCCTGGAATATCAAAATGGGCCAAGGCGCTTGAAGCCTATCCCAGTTGTCATAGGGCAAGAGGCAAGGTACACACTGTACAGGTTGCCTGGCCAACAGGTACACACTAATACAAACAAGATAGACAACCATGCAAGCCCACACTCAATGTTATGGGCACTTTATGGTCTCCAGTTAACCTAACATGATATGTTAGTAATTTTCAAACAATGCTGGGTTTTTAACGTTGGAGAGTTTTTGGAGAGGATCAGTTATTGTATTCTATTTTGATCACGTTTTCTGAAGTCATTCTTAACCATGGAGTCATGGCCCATCCTGGAGCGATTTAACTTGTGACTAATGACCCTTTTCCATTAGCCTTTATTCGACTCGCCTCAGCTTGGCTTAGTCAATACAAGGGAGGTTGTAACAGCTAAATGGACCGAAAGACCCATGACATGACAAAACAGGTTGCCATTGACAGCATTGATGATCACAGAATTAATTAAATAACAGATTTGTTGTTGCCACTTGTTACAGGTCTCAACAGGTGGGTTCTCATTAAGGAGTTGGAGTAAGGGTTACTCATCCAGTCACATTTTTTCCCTGGCCAATCAATGGCCAGTGGTCTGTTGTTAGCTAGTCTCACTAAATCCTAATGGAAATGCAAAAAAAGAAAAAAAAACATTAAAGGTGCACAGATAAGGTACTTTTTGAAAAGGGCCATATAGAACTGACAATGTTCCTGCTAAAAGCGTGGTTGCCGTTGGTGTCGACTCCCGGAAAACTGGAAGACGCCGCTTAACCATCCTCATGAATGTCATATTATCTGCCTTTTCAAAATACCAACATTTGACTGTGATCTAGAATATAATGTGCACTGCACAGAAAGCTGATCTGTATGGCTCAAAACCCACAGTAACATAAACTAACACATGCCCAGTCCTGTATTCATCCCTTTCGCCAACCAAGACTCAATGCAACCATCAGTCTTGTTGACAATTCACCTTCAATTTACCTGCAGTGTGGAGGTTTATGTCCATGTCAGAAATAAATGTATTTTTGTTGCTCAATTTATATCATGTAATTTCTTTGACAGAATTGTAGCTTGTCAAACTGTAAGTGTATTTGTATAGTACTTAAATATAAACCAAATCAGACACAAACAATATCTTAATGACTCCTTTGGCCAATTTGTAGTGGACAGATGGGCCCTAAGATCATTTTTAAAAAGGTTTAAGAACCCCTGGTCAAAAGGACATTGTTTTTTTTATATTTCAATAAAAAAAAACTTCTACGGTTCAGATTGGTTTGTGAGCTATGATTGCCTTTTGGAAAATTGCTTACATAGAGGAATTATGTCCTTGCAGAATTTTGAAAATTGATAACTGCTATGAAATGTATAAGAAATGTAGGTTTCATTGTAACACATTGTGCTGAAGCAGTTTTCGATCGTTGCGGATGGCACAGTGTTGTCGGCCTCAGCCATTGTTAAACGCTTCACACCTACAGAGATAAATAGACATCTCTCCAGCAGGAAATAATCCCTCCACACATAACACAGTGCTGACTCATGGTTCTGGAATTTCAAATGTGACTTTCCATTTTCCATTTCATCCATCGGTTGGCATCTGAGATGCTTGCGAAAGATGTGACGCTGAGGTGAATGTTGTGACCAAACAATAACTAACCTGACAGTTGCTTACATCCTTTTATAATGCTGTTTCTGGATAACAGAGTGGCAGTTAGACTCTTTCATTCAAATTCCTGAACCTGAGTAACCACTTATAACTGTCCTTGCAGTTTGGTTGTAGAGCTCCAGTGCAGTGGAAAGACAAACTTGTTCCATGAGGCTTCTTTTTGAGCCTTTATGCCCAGTTGTGTGGCTTAATTGGTCTAAAAGTTATGTGTAGAGACTGAGGGGGCAACTGTTTAATTTAAGATGGGCAGTTGTGACTGTGAAGGTGCGCTCCCTTTAAAAGTTCAAATAATAACACCATTCTTTTTGGTCTCACTGATGGGGGAAGTTTTGCCATTTGTTATCATCTCTATGTCACCGTTCCACTTGTTTATCACTGGTCCTGTTGTGTTGTTTGGGTTTACAAGCCAACTCTGCTATGAACTGCATGATCGAAAGTATCTATTGACACAAAAAGAGAGGAAACATTGTGAACATCATTTATATAAATTTGGAAAAAAATATAGATGTATAAACAATTTCATTATATAATCTTTAGTAATCCTTCCAGGGTAAATAAATGCAAAATTAGGCAAGGATTTCAACACACTTATCCATTAATCATTATTGAGATGAGCACTTTTACAGAAGAAGATTTTATTTCTGGGCAGATTTGAGACAGTACCCTCAATTTTAAATCACAACCTAGTAACTTGGAGATAGTGGAACTTTTGAAAATTTAAGAAACAATATTTCAAAAGAAAGTTTAGAGTCTGGTAGTAAAAAAGTTCTGTAACAGTTGTGAAATATGCTCAGTCTAAATGATCATTGATCAGGATCACAGCGTCTTAAGGACTCTTCTCCTCAAAAACAAAAACACCAAAATGACAGTTTCATCAACAACTGCATTTATGAAGAGATCAAATAAATTCCTTAGTAGTCAGTTTAAAAGTCAACTATCAGTGACACACACACACACTGAAGTAGATCAGCTAAAGTAGATCAGCTATCTATACAAAACCCAAGAAATTTGCTGGTGCTCTCTTACATATCATAAACATTTTTTGTGAAAACCAATCAGAGGATTGCATGGTAAAGACAGAAACTTTCTCGGTGGGCATTTTAGAGGCTAGGTAATGGGCCCTCGCTGAGTTGGCAAATTCCTTTGAATGTTTTTATTTGAGGGTGTAAGAAAGGTCTGTAAGCTAGAGATCAGAAGCAGCCCCAGGGTATCCTTACCTCTCTTTAAAGTGGATAATCTGAAATTGATAGATAGACCCTACTCTGCCAGACACTTTCAAGGGCTGAAAACCTGCCCCAGGCCATGAATTTAATCATCATATCCGATATTTTTAAGTTTGTTAGAAAGCAACAGGACAAAACATAATAACCTATTTGCATTCTGAGTTGATGGGGTTTACTATAATGTTTCATCTACATGTATCCCTCTTCCAGTTTTGTTTTTGTAGATAGAAAATGTAGTGTCCTATTTAAGTTATGACCTCACTTCTCTTTTTCTTTTTTTTCTTTGCCACAGAGTCCTTAAGTGCTAACAAATGTTTAGTTAGCTCTTTTATTGAGAAGGAACCCTTTTCAATAGGCTAAAGTGGCAGTTAAAGTTTGACCTTTCCTTTCTCTGTAGGAAAATCTACACTGTCTTTTCATATTCATCAATCTAATATGTTTTTACTGTTTCTTCTGTCCACCTTACTGACTCACACAGGCCTTGATGCCGAGCTCTACTATGTAAGGGATGACATGGTGAATCACTATGCGCTCTCCTTCAACATGCCTGTTCCAACTGAGACCAACGGGCTTTACTTCATGTGGTATTCGAAGTCCAAGGTAATTTTATAATATTTTCCAGGGTCTGCTCATGAATGGAGATGAATGTGAATTTTAAAAGGGGTTTTTCATTCATAGGTGGACTACCGGCTTGCGTTCTATGTGGAGAACCCTGTTGCCTTAAACCCACCGTCGAGCAATATCTCCAGTCAGGGGGAGGTACCCCGTGTTCCCTCAGGTCTGATGAATGTTTACCTTTTTTTTCCTATGATTTACTACGTCATCCTATATTTTCTTCTGTTTTTGATAGAATAACTTAGTGGGGTGGGTGGATGAGGCGGGGGGGGTCTGTGTTCTGAAGCTAGCAAAGTTATTTTATCTTAGCACGAGAATCATTATGACTGGTAATCCACAAAATCGAAAATATTCAAAAGTTATATAAATAATTTTAACACAGACTGGGATTGATGTGCAAAAACACCATTTCCTCATTCTCAGTTTTCTTTTGAAGGTGTTGTGGACTGATATTTTAGTGGAATGATTTAAGTACCGGTAAATAAGATTTCAGACTATCAGTCATTTTGGCACATTACACTTGTATTGTTTGAAGAGAAACATAATATCAGGCAAAACCAAACTAAGCCAAGCATAGCCACTGGCACCAACTCGGTTAATAAACTGCAATAGCTACCGGTAGTCAATAATTTCAAGTTTTCTAATGAACAACAGCTGCACAAAGACTCATTTACATTAATTTTTTTCCATTCACAGTCATGGTCTTAGTGTATTCTGTCTTATTCAGTCAAACTTTTACATTTTGATTGCAAAATTCTTTTTTAGCCCTACAACTGCATATGATAATCCAGATGAATCCCAGTGTCTCTAAACAACCACTATGGTTCGTGCATGTGTTGTGTTGTGTGTGCTTTTTCCACAGTCTTCAGAGTGGAAGTGGTCTGTTCGGGCAAGGTCGATGAAGAGGCATTTTTAACAATGCAGCTCAATCTGACAGACTATGCCAACAACTACACAGTGCTCAACTTCAAAAGGAGGAAAATGTGCTATAGAAGTAAGAATGGTTACTTATCATCCAGTAATTACAACAATGGTTAGGTTTTGAGTGATTTATGAAAGAGCTACAGCAACCGGCATGAGTGTTTTCTTTGTTCCTTTTTTTGTACTTGTCAACCTGTATTAATTTTCATATGTGAGAAGAGAAAATCAATATGCCTCCTCTATATTTAAATGTATTTTAATTTTGTTCTTAATTTAGTTTTTAGTTGGCATTTTGTTCTGTATCTATTTGTCAAACTATTTGAAGATAGTTCCATATTACCAAGAGGCCTTTCTCTGTCCTACACAGGAACAGATTTATTGCCATCTTATTTGAAGCTGGAAGCATATTACCTTTATGAACAGGTTCTTTGTCTGTCTTTGAGTGCTGCCCTGAATTCAATCTGAGCAACTTTACCTTCCAGATGGCCTCTTTCAATTGTTCCTGTAAATTTTGTATTAGAGGGCAAATAATGGTGAAAGCTATTTGTTGTGTTGTCACACACAGAACAGAATCTGCTTTACAAAGAACAGAAATGCTTTGTAAGAAGCCCAATACTTTTTTTAAGCCAGACCTAAAAGATTCCAGATTTGCCTAGTTGACCTCATGACAGTTAAGATATTCTTTCAGTTATGAATAGCGCAATTTATTCCTTTTGTAAATTCCTCAAACCACAATTTCCATCTCATTATGTTAGGATACTCATCTCATACTCAACCACTCCTTTTTATTGTGGCATTGGTCTGATTTGCTTTTGTTGAGAGAAAGTTTAAAAACGCTCTTTTTCGTGTAGCAAAAGAAAGATCAAGTCCAACCATGTAATTTTTAGCCATAATTGAGCATTTTAATGTTATCAAATTCAAGGCTCTGGTACACTGGCTCTTGCTTATTTTTTGTGGTCAGGTATGCAATTAATTTGATAATGCCATTTCAATGACTATTTCTTTGTAGGACAATAGAGTTGATGTAATGATATTTTCTGTCCTCTCTGTGAACAGGAATAGATTCTGACCCAAAGATTGCTATTCCCCACAACAATAACACATTTCATACAAGTGAGAGTAAGTAACCATGTCGCCTTCCTCTATTGTTTTTCTAGCACAGGGGTTTTGTTGATAAGAGTTAGATGGGAGGTCAATCTGCCTTGTACTTACCTATTACCTAGTGGTGACATTGTCTATAAGAAAACCCAATGTATATTAGAGCTACAAGTGGATTTTTTAAATATTTTGGGTTAGAGGTGTTTTTGAGCAGTGAGTATTTTACCCACAGTGAACAGTGGGCGTAGCTCTCATAAAGGGGTGACATGATTACCAACGTTTTTTCCAGCTAAAACGATCCACACACAAATTACAGTTCCAGCTGGATCTGTACTGTGAAAATTTCTACTGAATTTGCCTGGAATCTGTGAGATTTCAGTTATTTTAGACGGCTTAAAATAGGCTCTTCCTGTGGATACTTTCTAGGTAGCCTTTTGCTTTGTACCATGTCCTGCTGAGTACCTGCTAAGTACATCATAAAACTCCACTAAGAAAAAGCTAAAATAGCCCTTTCAGAGAGAGGGCTTATATTGGAGAGCACTCTGTTACCACCCCCACCCTATGGAGTGGTTGTCTTCTTTTTGTGAGACTTGTACAGACCCTTTGGTGTTTCAAAGTACCGTTAGTGGGCTTGTCTCCCTTTTGCTTGAGTAAGCCAGGGGAACCTGAGGCCCTCTAAGGCTTTTAGTGTGGTGATGAGAAATGCTCCCAGACATTGAGTCTTTACCACAGGCACTACTATTCTGGCCTCTGTTTACTTTGGTTCCTTTTAATACGTACCTATTGGCATACTTTATTCTGTTGCTCTACCTCTGTCTTTTTGGTGGCACAATTGAAACTTCTGCAAAGATGGTCATGTGTTCAGTGTAAAGATGCCCCTCGTTTTAGAGGTGCTTGGCAGTTCAATAACTGTCATCTTTTTTTTTTTCTCATCAGTTAATGGTGTTCCCGCGCCCACAACCTCCACCCAGGTGTTCTACATAAGTGTGAGCGTTTGCTGCATTGTCATTTTTCTTGTGGCCATCATCCTTGCCATTCTACACCTGCACAGCATGAAGAGAGTGGAGATGGAGGACAGGTGGGTTTATTTTAAGCATTAACAATCAGTGGGAGGTTAAAAAATAAAACTATTGAATTTTTCCAGTTGCTGAACAAATACTGGTTTTGTCTTTTTTGCCCAAGCACATGG